TGTAATCAGCACGTAACAGACAACTGTGTGTGTTACGGGAGTTACATGGTTTTATTCTACATATTACTATTTGTACCATTTCAGTGGGGCTTCTTGGCTTTATGAGTGTGAATTTTGATAGGTCTAGTTGAGGAAACATAAGGAAAACAGGCCGATAACTAGTACACGGTTACAGATAACCTTAGTTAATTTTACCTGAAGGTGCAGTTCTGCTCTGAAAAGTTGCTCTGTGAAAATGGGTGTGTGGGATGATATATTTATCATGTCCCATGATCCAAGTCTGCCAAGCACCCCTCAGGAGGATCTTAGCACCTCGCAGGACTGGTATATGTAATATATGCTTGACTTACAAGCAGAAAGGTGATTTTTCTCATGGTCAGCCCTGCAACCTCAGATTAGGCTCTGAAAGTCATACTGGGTTCACTCCTTCTTGTGCCTTATCACCTGAAATAAAGATTCTGCAAGGCATATTATGCCCCTAGTTACATCTGTGCAATCCCTTGGTCTTAAGTGGATTTGTAAAGGTATAGCTGATTGGAATTTAGCTACCACATCTGTTGATGCATAATACGTAATAGACGCCAATTATTAACATCACTCCTCCTTAACAGCATTGATTCTGCAGGTTTAGCCGCAATAAATTAAAATAAGTGAACATGTATTTTTGTCAGTAAAATGAGAAAATGCATCTCTGAATACACTCAGGCAACATATATGCTGTGCAAGAAGGTTTTTCAGGGTAGAATAATACTTTAAACTATACATTTTTCACCTGATGACTAAACTATAATTGGGACAATTCTTCCATTTGTGGGGAATCTCTTTTCCATTCCCCCCATGTTGTGCCTCATGAGGAACTGCAGTGAGATGTGGTCCATGACCAGAGAATGCTACCTTCTGGTATGCAGAACATAAGCAAAAATATTCCTGTTTGTTACAATGAACTTTGAAACTCATTTGCACAACAAACTGTTGAAGGCAGAATGGGGCATTTACTTTTCCTCACTGGTTAGGTAAATAATCTGATAGGATCTAGCTTTTTGATAGTTGATTATGAATTCCTTGCTAGTTAAATATGAATGATTTTCTGAAGATTAGTGATGCTATAACATGTATTGCTATTTGCAAAATCAAAATTAACCCTCAACCTATCTAAAGTCCCAATTTGTGAATGATTTTAGAAGAGGGAAATTCCAAATGAATCTAACTTCACATTAGTTTTTATATACTATTAAAAACAACCCAACCCAACCCTACAGTGGCAATAAGAATGTGTAGCTCACTCATATACCAAAGAAAACACCACAATAATGGGGATTTAGCACCTACATGTCATACTTTAAAATAGGCTTGGTGATTGATACCATAATCAAATTCCATAATTCATAGTGTAATGTGTTTTTTTTTCTTTCTTCCATTCCGTATCTCCAAAATAAGGTCTCTCTAGACAATCTTTAGTACAAAGAAATTTAAACTTAAGTGATGTTTCCCTTAAAAAAAAAACCTACGGACTGCAACAGAAGAGGAAGTTATTGCTCATAGACACCCCCACCCCATATGCTCTGCAGGGCACTCATAAAAGCAGGTTCTGCTTGATATATAATATTACAAGCTGTCACTGAAATGAAGCATTTAGCTTTTTTTCTGGAACAGAAAGGCCTAAGTGAAATTTGTGGATCAATACGATCTATACTAGTCCCATTCAGCACTTGTTTTTGACAGTAGAAATTAATGATCATCTCTTATAGTCAGGCATCTATTCTTACCTCCGAGCACAAGGATTTATAGACCTAATCCAAGCCCAGTGAAGCTAACATGACTCTTTCCATTCAGTGGGCTTTGGATCAGGCCAAATATTAATTAATGCTAACAACAGCTGCAAGTGCAAATCCCCATGCCTCAATACAAAAACACACCCCAGGGTATTTCGAGCATCCTTAGTTTCTTACTGTTGCATTGTCTTGACTCTGAAGCGCACCTGTGCAATGATAAGCATGGAATGATGAACAAACTGTGTACACATATTGCATAAACTCATTAGCATTTGGAAAAATGTCTCAGCCACTACCAGCTGAGCCAGCAGCCTATCATCAAAAATAATTCACGCAGCTATAATGTATCATTAAACAAAAACAGCCTCAAGAACACTAGCAATATTGTATATTTACTTGGATCTTGTTTTTGTATAGGTAACTATTAATCACAGTATCCTGAAAAATGGGTGTAACAAGCCCCAACATCTTGATTCAATATACGTCATAGTGAAAAGCCAGAGTGACTATATTTTATATTCAAACTTACACTAGAAGCACATTCCGGTAAATAAATTCTAGGAGCCCATCTCTGCCCTGTATTCACAAAAGCAAATACAAAAAGCACCGTAACTGCATCTCTAGATTCTTAGGGGCAGCAGAGTTTACACTGCATACTGCTGTGTTTTGGCAAATCATATTGTGGGATTTCAACATCTGTACTTCTCGTAAATTTGGTAAATCTCTAATCAATATGTATGCTTACAAGTCTTGGGTAATACATATTATTTACCATGTGCTTTGTTCTGGCTGTCCAAGCTAGGATGAGCTTCCATGCTATTTGTTCATTCAACATTAATTAATGTGGACCAGATTAGTAACTGAGACTGGCATTATGCAAGAAATAAATGCTTTGACAGCTCAAAAAAAAAAGTATCCAACATCAGAGTGGGCACCAAATATATACACCTTGCTCCTTATTTCTTATAGACAGTTCCTGGTGGCTGCAAACAAAAATGCATATAACCCAAGAACTAATTGTTTTTAATCAATGTGCTTTTCACCATTTAAATATATTTATCCTTTTCCTACCAGCATTCAGTGTTCTATTGTGTTCTCTCACACATGGTGTTTTGAAACAGGTCAATTAAATAGACATTGTCCACATATTTTAGTAATCTGCACTGCATTATTCTTGGATTATTAGTTAAATTAAGATTATCCACATACTTCACAGAAAACATATAGACTGTTTGAGAAATCCTGGTCACACTGAAGCCTATGGGAATTTTGCCATTCAAGACAATTAAGTTGAGATTTCACCCTGTTTGTGGATGAGTAGAACTTAAATCTATAAATCCAACGGGCTAAATTCTGCTCCCATGCACATGGATTTAACTGAAACAGACTCTGGCCCAAAATCTACCAGACAGAATCACAGCTTCCTATGATGTGTCGCATGCTGGATTTTGCATTTGTTTCGCTAATTTGCTTTGAAGAGGTGTAAAGTCACAGATGGGCAGACAGCTCTATATTTATTTTGCATCTGACCAGTTCATCTGTCTTGGATATTTCCAGAGTTATTTGGAATATATTACTAATGCAAAATGCTCCAGATCTTCCGTTTTCAGACAGAAGTATGCAAATAACAAAAGCGTAGAGTTATATACTGCTTAGGGTCAACACACAACCACCACTTCTTATGTTTGAAAGGTCTAGCTTTTGCAGTACGTAAGTGACAAAATGCTGGTGAAATCTAAATTTTGGGCACAGCTGATTTCTAGTCCTGCAAATACGTTCCACTTTTTGGTGCTATGCACATAGGCATCCAAGATCAAAACTGAAACTTAAAAATGCAAATATAAAAATACTGTACCTCCCATTTAGCTAAATGGCCTGGGGGACATCCTAACTTTCTAGATAACCAAGTGTTCAGCTAAATGGAAGTGCTATTTTGAACATAGGACTACCTGGGGGACACACTGGATTTGGATAACTAGGATTTTTGGATAAAGGGAATTATACAGTACATCCGGGAAGCCTATCAGGTAGTCCTTCAAAACCGACAGAGATACTGTATTTGTATAATTGGAACAGTTTTGAAAAAGCCTTTGATATAGAAGGACTATTATAATGCTACCTGTACAACGATGAATAGTTATAATCAAGGCTTTGTTTTGTCATCTGTAAATATTGCCTGAAAGATTCTAGTTTGTCACAAAAAGTGGTTTTGGTTTTCTTTGCCATTCTTGCTCTCCTTAACCCTGATTTGTCCCCCCTGCAATACATCATGTCATTGCTGATGAGTGAAGCTGACCTTGGATCGTGGGACACAGCTGCCCTGCAAGGATGCAGAAATGATAAGTAGTAGAGGACATTGCAAATAAAATAACTGGAAAACGGGGAATTGCATATTTAGTTTCATTTTCATAAATATTTTCTGAATTTACCTACTAAAAACTCAACCCCATATTGTTTTTGCACTCAAATCTCCAGTGAAATCATTGGCTTTCTGGGAGCTCTAGGAATACACACAGCCTACACCTCTGACCTAGCCTCTCTCCTGCCTATTCTATTTTTCTGCTTTCCACACCCGGCCCCTTCAGCTCTGATATCATCACCACCTTCAGTGCCCCCTTTGTGTGTTCCAAGGCTTTTTCCACACCGTCCCCTTCACACACATGGGATACTCTCCCTTCTCCCAAGCCAACAAGCCAGCTGAATCCCACTCTCAATTCAAAGGACTCCTTAGGATGCACTCCTTCCAGGATGCTCCCAGTGAGCCAGGTATTTGTTACATCTGTCACTACACCAAACTCAGCGCGTAAACCCTATGGGACATGGAGTATGTCTTACTATTGTTTTGTGAAGCCTCTAACCCACTTGTAGGTGCTGCTAAAATAAATCATAAAAAAAAATAACAGACTGCAGATTAGACACCAACTGTGATTTGACAAGCAGAAACCTAAATTGTAATTAATTAAAAAACTATTTTCAACAGCAACTCCACTCAGTTAGACATGTGAAACCTCACTTACTTAAGAGGGTACCAGGGATTAACTGAGATGAGAAGTGAGCCCAGTAGGGAACCACAAGGATGGACAGCATGGATCGCATTGCCTGCCATTCCTTAGGGTGAATACACACCAGGGGTTCACAGGGCTTCACTGGTACCACCACCAATGAATCTGGCCGGGAGAGGAAGGGCCCATAGCACTGATTTGTAAAGTGCTTTGAAATACAGTTCTATCTAACACTGGCCAGGGTTAATACCAGAATATAGCTCTGCTGGCAATGTTTAATCATACTCAGATGCCATCTTCGTCTTCTTATCTAGCAATTTCTAGGCAGCCAATCACAATAGCCCCCAAGCATTGCAGCTTGTTAACTAGGGTCCAATGCTAGTGTAGACAAAGCTCAAATGGGACAAAAAGACGAGAGCAGGACATCATCTATGGGGAGTTCTATACTTAAGTGTGAAACTGGGTAAGGTAAGATCAAAGGCAACAGCAATTATGTCAAAGATGAAAAAGGGACAATTCACAGGAAGGTTGATGACAATTTTACTCCACAGGTTGCAGGCTATAGGACCCTATCTATCCTTTAAACCATCCAGGCAGTAATTTTAGGGCCAAAAACACAGGCAACACTTCAGACTCCAAAACTGCATATGCATATTTTTGCTGAACATCTATTCACATTACACAAATCAGATACCTGTGTGCACACAAATCAGATAACTCTGTCTGTCTGAACAATGTGGGTGCAGAATATGGGGTCTACAGATTCAAAATTTGTGTGAGCAACGTTGGAGGCTAGTTTGGGGCTGGCTTGAAAATGTTGCCCCTTTAATCTTATTTTCTCTGCCCATTTATTTTTGTAGAAATGCAGATTTCTAAAGCTCAAAGAGAGAAGCACTTATGTCATATACAAGATCATCATCACACGTAAAAAAATTCAGCTAGTATTGTAACTATTTTTTATCGTCATAAAGACTGCAGTTCCTGTTCATGAATTTATCTTTCCCCCTCCCAATGCTTGGTTCTAATATACACCTTTTTCCTTTAGAGAATAACTCAATATATACCACAAGATACATACTAAGTGGGAAGGAGTCTATTCTCCTCTCCATGCACAGAGTGCTATGTGTATAATTACAATTAGTGTTGATGTGTGGGAGAATGGTGTGGGTAACATTTGTTAAGAGAAAAATAGATACCCTCTCCCTGCCCCCCCAAAAATTATAATGATTTGTCTTCCGGAGAGTTTGAAAGCAAAAGATTAGCTGTGTTTCACAAACTCTGGCAGCTCCATTCCTGTGTGCAGGTTAAGTACGCCAGCTTTCTCCAGAACAAAGGCAGGGTGAGCAGCATTGGTAAATCTGTGCCTGATGGTGAACAGAACTAGTCCTCTCTCTGCATTGAAGAATGAAAGTCTCCCAGCATTATAATCCAGCAGAATTCCGACCCTGGCTGGCTGCTCCATCACATAAACGTCATTCATTACACCACGGTGGAAGAATTTATAAATGAAACTGTAGAGAATGGGAAATAGAAACAAAATGAGAATCCATGATGCCATTAATCAGAAATAAACTACCACCATTTATTTCCCAGCCAATAACAAATTGCTCCACTCTTGCACACTTTGCACAGTGGAGTTCACACATTGAAGGAGATCTCTGAGAAGTATGAAACTTACTACACGTCTAAGGTGAAGTTATTTCACAATACTACCCTGTACACTCTGAACTCTTACACTAGCTCCTCAGCATTTCAAAGAACTCTCTTTCAGGAGAAAGGCACCCATTCTGATCTCATTCATCAATGCCACCTTTGTTCTCTTCCGGCCTCTGGGCCCAGTTATGGCATCATGGGGATTTGAGGATGCTCAGCTCCTCACAAGATCAGGCCCTATTTGTCTCAAGTGCTGCATTTAGTTGATTGTTGCTAATTTGATCAGATTTAGGATTAAATTAAAAATGTACTCCCCAAAGTTTGGCACTTTACTTGAACCTGTAGTATGCTCGTGCCCTATAAACAGGGCTACGATTTTGTCTTGGAAATTTTTAGTAAATTTCATGCCAGAAGTGCACGGGGGGGGGGGGGGGGGAAAATAGATAAGTCACAGAAAAGAGAGCAAGCCCACCCCGCTCTCACCCCACAGCAGCAGTTCTGTCCCATAGGACTGGGCCCGGCTCCCCTTGCTGGGCGTTGCAACCTGGCACACAGAGTTGTACCACCACTTTGGTTTTGCCCATCCACTGCTCTGCAGATAGAGGCAGAGGGGCCAAACCTGAGTGGTGCTGAACCCTGTGTGCCAAGCCACCCCACCACTCGGGCCTAATCAAATGTCTTTATACGGCCATTTCCAAGATTGCACCAACTCCATTCCAGTTCAGGATTTCCATAACAGTCACAGTGACCTCGTGACAAATTATAACCCTACCTATACAGCTCTAAGTGACTTGGGACTGTCCCTTTCCCCATGCCACAGCTGCAGCCACAGGGGCACTCAAGCTGGATCCCCCTCATTATAAAAGAGTGGAATGGCTGGCAGGGTGTGTTTGTGTGATCTCTAGGACTCTGGAACTTGCTCCGTGCTCTAGAAATGACCTTCCGCACATGCTCCAAAAGCCCTTTTTGATAGGGTTTTGCAAGAGAGTTGAGAGTATGTCCCGAGAACCCTGTACCTGATCCACTGGCTGGCTGAGCTGAGTTGGGTTGGGTTCGGTTCATTTGTGCCTGATAAATGTTTGTTTTTTAATGCTGCCAGGTGTGCTAAGCTGCTGTCAGACTAAGTGTCCGGGCACCTAGAGATCTTTTATAGGTATCTTTTTAATTATGACTTAAATCTGAAAAAGTAAAAATAAACAAAGATGTCTTCCACCATGTGCAAAAATGTAACTTTGCAATTACCTAGACTCACTCAGCTTTACCTTGTTTGTGTAGAACAACAACATATGCACCAAGAAGTATCATCCTGCCCCAGGATGCTGCCTCGTGGGGTAGAGTTATAGGAGATTCCCATCCGGTAGCCTTTGCAGCCAGTGACGGTGCTTTCCCAGTAATGCCGACCACGAGCTGGCAGCAGCTCACCCAGGACAGATGGAATTCTATGAACAAAGAGAATACAGCAAAGCCAGTGTTTCAGCATAGTGACTGCATAATGTTCTTTTCATCAGTTATAGTCACGTCATGTGGCAGCATCTTATATTGCTTAGATATTAACTTCATCCTCCTCCTAACTGAAGCTTTTCAACATAAAAAGCTTAGTTACTTTTAGCAAAAATCCTCTGATTCTACCTGCACATTGTGGTAAACTCACAGTGAGAATTTAATACTATTAAACATTATAGAAAGCCTTATGATGTCCAGTAAAAGAGACACAAGGATGTAGAACAACATTTTCAAATGTGCCTGGTTGATTTAGAAGTCCCATTCTCAAAAGAGACTTAGGCATTAAGGGCTGGTCTACACCAGAAAGTTTTGCCACTTGATTATACTAGTACAGTTAGATTGAAAAAAACCCTAGTATGTGTATGGTTATGGTGGTAGAAAGGTGCTTGTACCAATGTAGATTACTGAGGTTCAGGAAGCCAAACAGACTATATCTGTATGAACACCTTCTATGCAGGTATAACTGCATCCACACTAGGGTTTATACCAGTATAACAAAAAAAATCCCATCCCTAACTGACATCGTTATACTAGTTTAACTTTCCTAGTGTAGACCAGTCCTCAGGAGTCACTTTTGAAAATGAGATTTAGGCTCGTAAGGGACTTGGGGGAAGTTTACACTTAAAACGCTGCATCGGTGCAGCAGTGTCGCTGCAGCACGTTAACGGAGATGCTGTAAGTCGACGGACCAGAGCTATAAAGAGAGAATAGTGAATACTCCTTATGAAAAGAAAGTAAGATGAACAGCCATTTTTAACCATGGTCAATATGGCAATAAAATCACAAATCAGGTCTTCTTGGGGCAATTTTCAAGACAGAAAGGGTCTTGAAGAGTCAGAGAACTGAGTATGGGCCAAGACAAGGGCAGAGCCAGTCACTCCAGTATGTAGCTTATTCTCTGAATTTTTATCTCACAAAACGTGGTGACTTGGGCAATAAAACGAAATTCAGTGTTGATAGGTGCAAGGTAATGTAATGCACATTGGAAAACATAATCCCAACTATACAAAAAACAGTGGGGTCTCAATTAGCGGTTGCCACTCAAGAAAGAGAGCTTGGAGTCATTGTGAATAGTTCTCTGAAAACATATTTTCAATGTGCAGTGCCAGTCAAAAAACTAACAATGTTAGAAACAATTAGGAAAGGGATAGATAATAAGACAGAAAATATCATAACACCATGGTACACCTAGACCTGGAATATTGCTTGCAGTTCTGCACTTCCCATCTCAAAATAGATATATTAGCACGGGAAAAAGTACAGAGAAGGACAACAGAAATGATTAGGGGTATAGAACAGCTTCCATACAAGAAGAAATTAAAAAGACTGGGACAGGCCAGCTTAGAAAAGAGACAATTAAGGAGGGATATGATAGAGATCTATAAAATCATGAACAGTGTAGACCAAAATGAATATGAAGGTGTTATTTACCCCTTCACATGAGACAAGAACTAGGGGCCATCCAATGAAATTAATAGGCTGCAGGTTTAAAACTAACATAAGGAAATACTTCTTCAGACAAAACACAGTCAACCTGTAGAAGTTGTTACCAGGATGTGAAGGCCAAAAGTATAACTGGGTTTAAAAAAGAGTTAGATCGGTCCACCAATAGCTATGAGTCAAGATGGTCAGGGACGCAACCCCATGCACTGGGTGTCCCTAAGCTTCTGACTGCTAGATCACTCGCTAATTGCCCTGTTCTGTTCATTCCCTCTGAAGCATCTGGCACTGTCAGAAGGCAGGCAGGGCACTGGGCTAGATGGACCACTGGTCTGAGCCACTATGGCCATTTTTATGTTTTTATCAGTTTAATTTTCAGGGAAGGTTTCTCAGTGCAGCCTTAACCTCTTTACAACATTAAAAATAGTATCAGACTGACAGACATTGATATGTTGTATTTTCTCTTCCATCTGGCCTCAATTTTATTAAGGTGTCTGGATAAGCCAGTTTGACGTTTTTTTCATTTGAGGATACAACGTTTTGTTACCCATCTCTTCCTCTCTTAATATTAAAAGTTAGAATATAATATTTTTAAAGTGTATATTTTGATAGTATTTTGTATCCCACTCTCCCAACCTTCAAATATTGGTTTTGAGGGAGGGGAGCGTTTCAATATTTTGAGCTGTAATGGACAGGCACGATATGTCTAATTTATTGATGTGAGCCAGCTACTTTGCACAGCTCCAGGACCATGGACTGTCACACATAAATTAGAATAGCCTTCAGGCTGCTTAAGCTTACACCAGAGACCACACTGTGATATGAGAGCATAAAGATGGTTGTTTATGCCAGTTGAACCAGATAATCTGGCCCATTTCATCATCTATATCAACAGTGCCTAGCATATTGTTGCTAATATAATGTAAATCAATTAATAATACAACAACAAATCACAACATCGGTGCTATTTTTTCTGAAACATTCCCTTGATACCTCTGTTTTAGAACAACAAAGGTGTTTTCTAAAGTTCAATAATAATTTATTATAAGTTTTTTTTAAAATCAACTGTCATGAGCAAATATCGTATGAGATAGGTGCTGTTTTATAAATCCAAATAATGAAATAAATTGGTGTGACCACAAAACAAGTACCGTTTTAGGTTTATAGCTGTGATTGTTTCCACTTCACAGTAGTGCTAAACTTGAAGCGCTATCCCATTCAGTTTCTACAAATGCAGGGCTTGTCTACACTTACTGAGGGATCGATCCGCGGCGATCAATGCATCGGCGGTCAATTTAACAGCTCTAGTGAAGACCCGCTAAATCGACTGCAGATCGCTCTCCCGTCAACTCCTGTACTCCACCTGAACGAGAAGCGCAAGGCGAGTCAACGGGAGAGCATCTCCCATCCACATAGCATAGTGTGTACCCCACAGTAAGTAGATCTAAGTACGTCGACTACAGCTACGTTATCCACATAGCTGAAGTTGCGTAACTTAGATTGATCTCCCCACATAGTGTAGACAAGGCCTTACTGACTTATGCAAGATGAGGCAGATTCTTGCTCTCATTGAAGAGGTGTTCTGTTCCCTCTTAAAGCAGTTCAAGTCCAGTGTATCTTTATTTTTAAGGTGAATTCTCCACTCCCTTGCACCCTAAATAATCATCTACAGCTGTGTAAAGTGGGCATAAAATGCTGCCATTTGATTAAGCATTTTGCACCCACCTGGTGCAGGGGTAGATTATACAAGGTACAAGGCAATGAAGGCTTGACCAAACAGGTTTTGCACCGATTTAACGAAATCAGTAGAAAAAATAACTTAAACTGGTTTCAGAGTAACAGCCGTGTTAGTCTGTATTCGCAAAAAGAAAAGGAGTACTTGTGGCACCTTAGAGACTAACCAATTTATTTGATCATAAGCTTTCGTGAGCTACAGCTCACTTCATCGGATGCATACTGTGGAAACTGCAGAAGACATTATATACACAGAGACCATGAAACAATGGGGTGGGAGGAGGTATTGTTTCATGGTCTCTGTGTATATAATGTCTTCTGCAGTTTCCACAGTATGCATCCGATGAAGTGAGCTGTAGCTCACGAAAACTTATGCTCAAATAAATTGGTTAGTCTCTAAGGTGCCACAAGTACTCCTTTTCTTTTTAGTTAAACTGGTGCAGCCTCCCAGTGTAGACTCAGTTATACCATATCAGGGTATTGCACCAATTTAACTAAATGTTTTTTCTACCATTTGAGTTAAAATGGTGTAAAAAACTGGGTGTAAACAAGCCTGAAGAGTCTGGCCCCATATGGAGACATTAGAACTTCCGTGCTCAGGATTCTTATACTTACCCAGTGAATTTGGTTCTCTCAGGAAGGCATATCACAGTTCCATCGGAAGACACTTGCAAAGCAGGATGAGCTGTGTCACTCATCACATGAAATCTAGTTCCTGTTATTATTCATGATAAAGAAACACACACCAGTTCAGGGATGACTACAGTGCTAATTTGAAGTGAATCATAAAATACCAAACAATACAAAAACATTTACTGTTTTCTAAACAAGACACAGCAGCAAGGATGAGTTTCTCTTAGAGAAGGGCAGAGCCTGAACAGTGCACCCTTCTACTACTCTTCTCTTGAAATTCAGATCTGGATCTGAACATGGCAGCTTGGATCCATCTTATTTTCACAAAAGGAGGAGGTGGTGTATGGAAGCAGTAAGCCTTAAATCAGGGCAACACCTGTATCAGCAGTGTTTTCCCTGCTTCACTCTCCCACACATAAAATAATTATACAGCAGGAGCAGCAGTGGCTACCAGCATTGACAGCTAATTTTATTTTTGTAGCATTTTCTAGCATAACCATGAAAGTTTCACAAAGGAGATCCCAGCAGTTTTGAACTTTAATAACTTTCTGTACTAAACTATCGTAATCCAGTTCCCCACTAGAATAGCACAATCATAAATACGGCCTCACTACATAGACTTCCAAGTGAATCTGCCATAGGTAATCACACACTCAAAAATAAAAATAAGACAACTAGAGATATGCTGGAAAACTGTATGACTACTTTACGTAGGGTTTGTTGCTGTGATTGTACTCCACATTTCTTTACTAATCTTATTGCCACAAGCTGTTCTGCGTCCGTCAAAATCTTTTTCATGAGTAATGGATAATATTATACCAAAGAAGGCAAAGGCTCTCAAGTGGTTAGGGTAGTTCAAAAACTTTGGGGCAACACAGAGATCCCTGATATTAAAAAAAGTTTTGAAGTCAATTATTTTTCAAAACACAGTTCTTGAAGTTTGAGCCTGCCATAATGTATCTTCTCCTAAAACACTGGACTACGTTGTTGTTGTTTTTTAAATCCACTTACAGACTTTTAGTTGTGTTTCACATCATTCTGAATAATTTTGAATAGAGTCTTTTATTAGGAAATGTCTTGCCAAGGTAAAAAAAAAAATCCCCAAACATACCCAGGTAAGGCACACAAGAGGCTGAAATGCAAAGATCAGTTTCTGTCAACTGTTGAATTCACTAGAGTTGCATAGCTCTAACCAGGGCAGAACTTGGTATTGTTTTAGGAGTTTTACATTCATAGGAGTTGTACAAAACTCCAGAACCTGAAGAACATTGGGCAGTTTCCAGTGGTTCTGATTCTGATTTCACTTACACCAGCTTTACACTGGCATAACTCTACTAAATTCAGCTGAGTTATTCCCAATTTACACTAAAGGTCAGTCAAATCAGAAGCAGGCCCAATAAATATGTCACAATAAACTGGTTACTTTTGGAGACTAAATTTCAGCATTTTGGGGCAATTATGCCACCTTTGGGTGCCCTGCCACTCTACTCCATTGTTTTCATGTCAGAAAATGCAGATCTACCTTTCGTTGAGATGAGGGCGGCTTCACTCTGTTCACTTGTCCCAGATGAGTTGGCAGCTCTCACATAGAAGAAATAATTCACATTGGGCTGCAGATTAACTTGCAGTTCAGGCTTTTTTATTCCAGCAACAGATCTAGAAAAATTCAACAATTTTTACAATTGAAAATGCATACTAAAACTATCATGCTCAAATTAAAATGATCTCTTATACAAACAGCTAAGCCATTTTAGCTACATAATATTGTACTCGGATATTACAGTGATGGGCACTGTAGAAAAACCTGAGGTTGGATGGAAGCATAGACAGACCGACCGACCTTCTTTTCTTCAGATTACAGATGGATTTTGCCTTTTACCTATGACATTTTCCCTCGTTTTACTGGCCTATTCCTTTAAAATGACTTGAGTCTCTACTGCCTTGCACCTTATATAGTTATTTACACCTATGTAAATCAGGTGTAAAATTCAACTAATCTGATTTAGTTGCATTTTACACCCACTTTGTGCTCAGATTGCGCAGATGGAAGTAAGTATACAAAGTGCAAGGCAGTGGAGAATCAGGACCCCTAATTTTCATTGATCTTCCCAGTAAAGCCTCCATGTTGCCAGATGAACAAGTTAAACAAATAGAACCGTCAATAAATACAGCTGCAGATGAGAACACATGGCTGGTATGACTGGGCTACTTAAATACAGATTTCAACTGTGAGTGAAAGATACCACCTTTTGAATATACATGAAAACCACACATATCTTATTGAGGGCTCTGATTTCACACATCATTCAGCAAAAAAGACCTGGCTTCCCCTCCCTAATTTTGCAGTGCACTTTAACTGGCTAGCTTTGCAAGAAACAACAGTAGGAGAACTGCCTTGGCACAGTGTCCTACTTTGATTAATCCTGCCCTTTATGATTCCTCAAAAGCTCCTGCCTTCATATCTTTGACAGCTGGTGCCATTACACACTCCAGGAAAACAGAGAATCAGCACTCACTCGAGCTACTTCACAGACACTTTGAAGTGACCTTGAAGGCACCTGGGTTGCCTGGAAAAATAGGAACTTTACTTTTTATTTTGATGGAAACATATGGGCTGAATTTAACATTTTCTCACTTTCTGGGTCCATATTTTCAGAGTCCCATAGAATGCACGTACACCATTGTATGCACAAAACCTGTATCCGAGTGCCCAGCTAGCAGGTACCTGCACAGATTAGGTAACTTTGCCCACAAGTACCAGTCTGTACATGCCATACAGTTACCCAGTTTTCAAATGTAAGTGTAGGTTGTTGTCTGCAATGTGCACATCCGTGTGCACATTTTGGGTCAAATTCTGCCCCCTTCTGCATGTCTGTTCCTTCACAATGGAACCACATGGTTCTGTTGTACAAGGAGGAGCTGGATGTGGGGGACCCTAGCTCCGAACAAGACCGCTGTGTGCCAGCTTATGGAAGGTGGGAGGAGAGAGAGTTGGGGATCACCACAGCACAGAACCTCCTTCTCTCTGCTTGCTGTTTCGCGTCTAGATAAAAAAAAAAGAAGAAAAGAAAAGGCTCTGCAACATTTCTGAAACATGGAGAAGAGGATTCCTCCCACCCTGGCTCCAACTGTGCATCTCCCCAGCACATAGTCTGACGATTTAGACGAGCTGCTCGGTGTCTGAATATTGGACAGATGAAAATGGTTCCTCCAGGGGAAATGATAGAAACTCCCTCACTTGGGACAGTTAAAATGAGACCAGAATAGTCTCACTACAACAATTACTGCTCCTGCACCGACAGGGAGATGGAACTAGATTAGCCAATGAGTCTTTACCATCTCTAATTTCTACGATCCCACAGTATGTTTGACAGGCAAATGCAGTTTGCTACATAAGTCCATTATTACTAATGTATGGAAACTGTTTTTCTGCAGATGTCCCACCAGAGAGCAGTACAAACTGAAGAATGATCAGTGCTCTTCCACTAGGATTTTCACATGCACATCTGAGCCTTGTTTATCAGTATGAGCAAAATCTCGCAGTCCTTACACGTTCCTCATGAAGGCAAAACTCCCTTTAACTTCAAAAGGAGCTTTATGTCCATAAAGATTGCAGGATTGCACTCTATCTGCAATTTATTTCACTTCTCCATTGTATGCGTTTTACAGTGTCTTTTGTCATGAAAAATTTTAGAAAAAAATCATTATGTCCTTCAAAGATGAGTGAACTTCAAAGGGTTGGGGGTTTTAAGCTCATCAGGACTAAGCCAAACCTCATTACAGAAATAAGCATGCAAATCCCAAAAGAGATGCAGTAAATGCAGAATCAGGTAACCCAAAATTGATGGAGATTGACAGATTGTGTCACTATCACGTAAGTGACAAAGACCCTGATTCAACAAGGCACTTTAGCATGTGCCTGCCTTTAAGCAGGTGAATAATCATATTGGTGGATTATCCCAGAAAGGTTTTGTGGGAGAAGTGTGACTAGAGGAGGGATGACTATAGAGAGGAGAGTCTCATAGAGGAGAAAGACTGGTCTGAGTATAGGAGGAACATGGAAAAAAGCATGATGAGCGTACAAGAAGAATACAAAAGAAGCACTTTGGAGGCAGGCTAAAGTAGAATAAAAGAAGCAAGGAAGGAGAGACAGCCAAGACTCATGCAGGAATGGAGTTTTGCAAAGCTTTGAAACAAGTTGTCCACACTTACTTAAACTGGGAAGATAGCCTGGGACACTCTATAATGTCCTTGATACCCCAATAGTTTTTGCAGGTGAAGTCATTTTTCATAGTTCTCCATTAAAAGTTCTGTGATAGAAGCAGAACACACTGGAAAGGAGCCATTTTGCTCAAGTAGTTAAAAGAATGAGTAGTTAAAAATAGAGCTACAAGGAGACATATAGAAAACTGCTTGTCCTAATGAATGGGCAAAATCTCTCAAGCAGAGATTTCCTCTGCAGAATGCCTTCCTGTTTTCCCTAAGAGATGCCACAAAAGTCACTGCCCTACCATGAAAACAGGTGGTGTCCTTTCCCCCCATTGCAGAATAGTTATATCATAACATTTGAGATGGCTTCTTAGCCTAACCAAAGGCTGTGCAACACGTCCATCTGAGTAGAGAGGGGAGCAAACTGCAACATTCACATCCTGAGTCAGAGCCAAACGCAGGGGCGTTGAGAGCTGTGGTGTGTGTTCAGAGTAGGATCAGCCAACCAGTTCAGACTGGGATGTCCTCCAAGTCTGAGGATACTTGAATTTCGGCTTTGGGCCCATCGCAATATGAGAGCGCAATATTTTACCTACAGCGCAGATTTCATAGCAGCACAAAAGTGTCTGGACTCAGAATGGACCTCTCAGTAAAACAGTGATCAGGTTTGCCAGTAAGGTATTGTGCTCAGTAACCTATTTTAGCTAGCTTTAAGCTTCCTAAGAATACGAGCCCATCAATTTTATCTGAGATTAAGGCTTAAAAAATATCCCTGCTGGTGCCAACTGATGAAAGAGGATAAGCCAACAAGATGGACATTCATTTGCAACACTCAGTTAATTTCAGCCAGCTTCAGACTCACAACAAGCTGAGTCCCAAACAAGAAATGTCTTTGAATGCCTTGCCTTTTGGTCTGGCTGCTGGGGGAAGGGATGAGGTGGAAAACTGAACCAATGACACCCCCTCCCCCCCCCCCCTCCGAGCCATAGGCAATCACTTTTGTTGGTTATGCTTTAGGTCAGCCCTCTAGTCAGTAATACAAACTTTAGAGTGAAAAAGGCATGATTACTGCCTCGTTTATGTGAGTATAAGGCAAGTATGTGGGAAGGGAATCAGCATTGTTAACATCCTGATGGTGCTATGGGAAAAGCCTGTTCCATTTCCAAGTACCTGTGATAAACTGTGATGCTAGATCACCCTTAATCTGGCAAAAACCATTGAACCCTGTAATTTCTGTCATGGAAGGAAGGGAAATCAATCTAACAAAATATGCTGAGTGTTCTGTTATATACTTGCTGTTTAAAATATGCCTGCACATTTTACAGACAATTGGAAATGTAAAAAGATAATTGTATTGTCAAAGCACGACATAACCTGGCCCTTTTCCAAGAGGTTTCTTTAGGTTGCATACTATTGCTACAAAACCTTTGACAAAAAGTACAGGGCATTAAAAGCAAAGGAACACAAGACGCTTGATGTTTTTTTCATTTTCTCTTTTGCTCCTGTTTAGAATGAGAAATCTAAGTCTCAAAGCCAGTGTCCAAATTTCAGGTATTATATTTAACAGTAACACTATTTGACTTTAAGCAGGAAGGAGTTACATTTTTCTTCACATTTAAATTGGTGAACAAAATTGTGTCACCTGACTGATGTAGCTCAATGCTCAGAAATTACCTAGGACACTGGAGATTTTCCTGAGTCATGAGAAATCTGATTTGTAGTTGTTTTTTGTTTTCATTCACACAACAATTATATCCCATTGGTTCCCATCTATTTCAATAAATAGAATAAATTCTAAAGGGGTACTTTCAAATACAGTGTAAGCCAATGGATGACTTACATATGTTAAAGTGTTCAGAATCCCCTCTGTATTTTAAATAGTTATTTTCCCTTTCAAACAATCCACCAATGAAACCCAACATCTAGAGCTGTGCTGACATCCTTGATATCTGTGGTGGGAGCTGAATGCACACATTTTGCAAGTATAGCACCTCACAGTATATCTGAAGACAGTACCGGGCTCTTCTTCAGTGAGTGCATGCAAATCATTTAGGCCCAATTTTTTTTACAAGCATTGCTTAATCTTGAATGGCTGTTTTGGGATGCTCATCTTGAGCCACCTTGGGCTGTCCGAGGTTCTGAGCACCTACAGCTGCCATTCACTTCAGTGGCAGATGCAACTTCTCAGCATACACAAGTTTTCACAATGTCTCTACAGCACTGTTTGACACTGGACAACATTGTTATATCATTCCCAGACCTATTTGCTCGATGGAGACCGTACTTCTGAGAGTGGCCTCAAGCAAAGCAGTCCATTCTCTCCTAGGCTAGCATTCCTGCCAGTAGATAGGTATAGTATTGCATAGATACCTGAAGGTTCTAGTTGGCATCAGGATGCCAGCTGAAATCCAGCACAGATCAGTGGTGCTGAGAGAAAGTTTTGCCAGTAGGTGGTCTATGTGAAAGGAGTTGGTGGTCTCAATCCAGTTCCTACTGGACAGGTGTCCATGTAACCAAATCATATTGGCAAGGCAATGGGCAAGGATGCTTGCCCTGCTATTCTACGCACAGATGGAAGATTTCAGTCTCTAGGGGTGTCAAACTCACACTGATCACAAGGATTAAATTCACTCAGGAAAACACAAACACAATTATTTACACTTCTTATGAATTCACAACATATTAATTTCTGTGTCTCAGGTTTCTCACAGTTTCTATCTGAACAGCCCACACAGCTAGTCCCAGGACTATATTTCTCAATATTTTCCATCTTCCACCCACAGCTCCGTTGACTTCTCCACCCAGAAAAAGCGGAACTGTGAGAAAACAGCAGAGGTGTAGAAATCAAAAGAAATATTTCAAGCCCACTTACCCTGGAAAAGGATTAAAGAAAAGCAAGGATGTGTGAGGAGGAGCTCCATGAGTTTACACACAGCCAGTAGGAAATCTTCAGCCACCACAATAGCAAGGTTAGGGACTGATTGTTGTCAGAGGACTAAAAAGGTTCTGCACTAAATCATCCCTCATGCAGGTGAAAAGTTGAAAGGGGGGGACATTTGAGGAGAAAATCTCTGTGCCAATTTCTTTGCAGAGATTCCCCCAAACTCTCCCACTGGGGAGTGGGGATTGTCTCCACAGGAAAGGGTGTGGTCCTGTGCACATACCTGGTGGATCTCCTGGAACCTCCAGGAGGCCACAACTATTTGCATGTAAGCCCTGTATCCTTGCACCTGATCCAACCCCCTGTGGTACATTGGAGACCCCTCCTTTTCTGTGGTGGCTCCCCAAAAGGATATATGCAGAGAAGTTTATGTAGCCTAGGACCATATTACCTTTTCCTGGCAAGTTCCATATACCAGCAGGAGTGTGCAATTTGCATCCTCTACCCCCCAACTTGCCCACTACTTCCCATGTCTCCTCCCTCATTCTCTGCTCCCTCCACCATGCCCAGGCCACCCCAGCAGTTGTATTAACTATCCATTGGATCCCTATTGGTGCTGCAGAAGCCCCTTTCAAGGGAAATCCAAGAGGCAGGCACTAGATGGGGAGTCTCTGGGCTTCATGGAGCTGGAGCAAAACAGGATGGGACTAGAGATACAGGTTCACTGTGTAAATGGCCTGTGCCTGGCATATCCCCAAGATCTGTGGTGTCTGTCAAACGTACTCCCTGTTTGCTTTTATGGAGGTTCCCCATGCCTCCAATGGAAAAATTCAGAGGAAACTGTAGGGGAGTCCCACAAAGTTTCCTGGACCCTACTGTTATGTGACCATATACTCACCAACCCTCATCAGGCCACTTATTATTTGGGCTATGTGCAAAAAAAAATATTGCCAGAGGAACATCCTACTTTAGTACAGAGCATTTTCCAGTTTAGTCTTTTTTTCCTGACTTTTGTGAAAATAAATGGCGGTTTTCTTAGGTTAGAAACTATTATATCAAAGGAGGCAAAAACCTTTCTGAAAAATTGGGAAAATCTCGCTGGAGCAATTTTGACAAATTTCATTTTTTGTTCTTTCTGAAATTTCACTCTGGTCACAGTGAAAAGCTATTTTCTACCACAGAAAGGCCAAAATATCAATCTGATTCAGTAATATATAGACTCATGAACATTTCAGATTTTGCACAGACATACTTGACAATGAGGGTCAGTCAATTCTATCATTTTGTAGGCACAGTTATCTTCACACAAGCAAACTGCTCCCTGAACTTATTTTGCTCACCGATGACAGAAAACTGAACATTTTCAGCTTTGCTGTTGAGCAAAATAAAGGCTACTCCAATTAATTGTAAGTAAACTTGTATTGTATAGTCAGGAGCAATCACATTTTGCCTAACTGAAGACAACATTGGCAGGAATTCAAGGTCCTCATAAAATGTGTATGAAACTGAGCACACTGCAGCTGCCTGCATACAAGGGACAGCCATGCAGAACTCCTGTTCAGATTAAGACAAAGCATCTTGTGCTGGCACATTTAGTCTTTGCAGGCCTCAAACTCCCTATTTAAAGATCAGAAGGAGCCATGGTCTACATTGCAGAGTTCTGGGGGCTGCATTTGGCACATAGGTACTGACTTTTTTTGCAGGCTATTTAAATATTCTTTTAAAATGTATTTATCAGATTTGTTTTTCCTTTTCCTTAGAGACTATCACCAACCGCCTCTGTGTGTCACCTAATTCATTTCTTTTAAGAACAATTAAACTATTCCCCCAAACGCCTTTGGGCAATGGGATCTTCCCTCTGTATAAACCTCCATCTTCCTTACTGTCCCTGCATCATGTGGGGTTGGAAGGTCATTGGGACCTGGGGGTTTTTCTCATTCTCTCTGTTGCCATCCTTTGGGCAGGTACAAGAGGATAGAAAATATACTGATCAGTTATGGGGAACACACACTGAAGTCAGTGCAGTCTGGGACAGTGCTTATGTCACTGGAACCTGTCTATTACCCTCACCTGACCAATATGAGCCTGGATATGGATGATGACAACATATATACTCAGCGGCATTATTACTGTGTTTGAAGTGACCGATGGTAAGCCGAGCTGGGTGGGAAATGGTTTTGCCATCCCACGAACATTTGATATTTCAAAAATGGACCCATTCCATATCAGGATGAAACAAAGACCCTTTGAAGCGTTTTGGTGAAAAACCAGAGAGAAATAGCTAGAGCAGTCACTTGGGACATCAGCTACCCATCAAGTGCTTGCTCTGCCTGATTCAGACCACGGACTTGAACCTGGGTCTCTGACATGCCAGGTGAGTGACCTTCTCACTGGACTATTCTGGGGTGGATCTCACTCCTCACCTCCTGAAATTCCATCCTGGACTTGAGAAACTTCTCCCAAAAGTTCAGCCAAAAGCAGTACAAAACGTTTTGGTTTCAACAAATTAGAATTTCCTGACCAAAAAAAAAAAATGTGTCAAAAAATTCCAAACCAGCTCCAATCCAAGAGTTGGTTTGTGTTAGTGTGTGGGAGCCTTTTTTGGGGTGGGATAGGAAATGTTATTTATTAGTGATGATTAATTATTATTTATTTTCCTAGGATAAATTGTTAAAAAGTTGCATGCACTCACAATTTGGATACGCCTATTATTGTGATTTTTAGAGTACATGCATTATTAATTATTATTTGCATTGCAAGAATATCCATAATCTGAACCTACTCAAGATCTGGGGCCCCATTGTTCTGGGTGCTGCACAAATACATAGCAAGCTAGATCCCTGCCCTGAGGATCTTACAATTCAAGTTTTTTTGATATAGCAAGATGATTTCCACAGACAGATCCCTGTGCCAGCACAGAGCCCGATTGAAATTACCAGGCATTCCACCCACACAGAACTCATTGATGGATCAGGTCTTAGGAAAGCTTACAATCTAATTGTAAATCTTACAATTTAACACAGGAAAGCTCCATACCAATAGCGTACTAATACTTGTGATGTGTTTAAGAAATCACACGAATGAATCCTTCTGCTACGCTCTAGTAATGAACCAGCACAACAGATTTTCAGGTCTCTTAATTATTTTTTTTTTAAACAAACATACAGACTTCCTAGCCCCTGCCCTTTCCTGTGCAGTACAAGTGCACTGGTTCTGCTGGGAGGGGAGGAGGAGGAGGAGGAGGCGGGAGGGCTCCATAGCTGAAGAAGAGAAGGTAGAATTTGCCCCTTAATGTCTTTTATTTCCCAACTGAGGACTAGCTCAATGGAAGTTTTTCCTGAGTAAAGACTGCTTACAGACTTCAGGTTTGGGGCTGAAGTAAATGGTTCATTAGTTTAGCAGAATAAAATGATGATATTTCTAGTTTCCCCGCATCTAACCTCAGAGATTAGCATCTGGCCCAGAAGCTGATTTTTCTTCCTTATGTAATTCAAGACAAACAGAATAATCTCTTATATAATAATCCATGATCTGGAAAGTGCTCCTTAATTTCTCTTTAATCTCATCTATCCACATTTCAAACCTTAGGGACTGACCTGAGACCCTCTCCTTCAGGAGAGTACTGTCTGCAGTACTCCAGTGTGAAAGACTTTGTTGCTTCGGGGTTGGCTGTGCTCCATCGGATGACGGCAGTGTCCCAACACACAGTACAGTCTTCTGCCTTTAGTAAGGGGGTAGAGGGTGCTGTGAACACAATGATGTGTTAGCTGTACTATGAAGCAATTGCAATGTATATGCTAGGCAGATTGAAATGAAAAGACAACCACAAAATGCACATGTCACCAATCCTAAAAAAACCAATAAACTGAATTAGCATAGAAAGATCATTTTTCCTCAGATGGAAATAATGTGTGTGGAAACAACTGTAAACAACAACACTACAATAATGTTCTCCCGTTATCTTTTTTTTTTTTGGGGGGGGGGGAGAGGACACTTTACTTTACCCATCTCAAAGGCACAGCTTCCACCAAGTGGTCTCAATAATACTTGGTGCTTTATAAATATTATTTCATTATGAAGCATGTAAATATCATCATCATATTTTACCAATAGGGAAATTGAATAATCCTTCTCATCCTGCAGAGTTTAAATGATCTGCCAAAAGTCATCCAGCAAAGTAAATTTCAGAACATGGATTAGAACACAGGCCTCCTAAACCTATGCCTAATCTGCTAGATCACAGTGCCTCCGAAGCAAGTCACAAACTCTGATCGTCATCTGTCAAATGAAGCTAATACATAATACTTATCTAATTACTTGCCATTATTATAATGTATTATTCGTATCACCATAGTGCCTAGAATCCCCAGTTAAGATCAGAGCCTCTGTGTGCTAGGTGCTGTACATACACATAATAAGAGAAACCCTCCCACCCCCCAAAAGAAGTTACAATTTAAATAGACAAGACAGAAAAAAGGTGGGGAAAAGTAAGTATCATCAGCATCATCCCCATTTTACAGATGGGAAACTGAGGCATGGAGTGACTGAGCGACTTTCCCAAAGTCACACAGTGAATGTGTGACAGTGTCAGAAATTGAACTAATATCATTCCATTCCAATGCCTCAAGTACAAGTCATGATTGGGGACATTTTAAATTCTGTGTTTTCTCAAATTTCACATATGGTAAATACATTGCTGTCATTTTACAGGTAGGGAAACTATTTGACTTGCCTATTATCTAGTGGATGGAATCAGTGAAACACTTCTCTACATTTCTAATAGCATTGTCTGGTTAATACCGTCTCAGGAACTGAGATCTAATCTTTAAATGTCAAAATATACCTACCAGTTCTAAAAGTGGATTTGTGACTTGGTAAGCTACATCCTGTATAGTTCACAGCCATGACCCACACACCATAATAGCGATCTGGCTCCAGGTCTTCCAAAATGCAGTAACTCTCCTTCACTGTAACTCTGTATTCTTCCACCAGGGCTAGTACAAGCATACACATACAGGTCATTAGAGAAATGCACACCTGTTAGAAACAATTTGTATGGTTTAGGGTCTCTTATATAGACCAATATGTAAACAGGAGTCGATCATATCAGGGCTTGTATACAATATGCCTAACACTTGCCACAAAAATATGGTCAAGAAGGAACTAAATGAGTTCTGCAGAGTAAGGAGATAATTTATTTGTGGGCACCAGGGGTGCTGAAACTAGGGATGCTGTAGCACCCCCTGGCTTGAAGTGGTTTCCATCATTTACAGGGCTTACAGTTTTGGCTCTCAGTTTTGGCTCAATGGCTCTCAGCACCCGCACTGTACAAATTGTTCCAACGCCACTGCTGGGCACCATCAAATGTAATTGCCATTTGGCCTTTTATTGCACACTGCATTTCTGGAGCTAGCTAGGCACTCCCTCGGCTAATTAACATGGAGGTATTCTAGCTCTTAAATTGCTTTAACTCTTTACCATTCACTCTCAAATAAAATGTTAGAAAAGCAAAGTTAAGTTACAAAGGGATTACTACAGGCAAATATGCTAAGTTCTTCTTGGAAGGCATTGAGTAGAGATGGCTGAGAAACAGAGGGGGGAGGGGGTTACTGTAGGAAATTTAGACAAAAATGACTTTTTGTTTGTTTGTTTTCCACAGAAAATTTAGACTTTTTGGCAATGTATCACAAACCAATATATTTCCAGTGAAAATGGTGCTGCAGTGCCTCACAGGAGTTGTAGTATGGGTGCCTTACGCTCCCGTTCTTCCCTGTGGGCTGCTTTCTGGGTGGACAACTCCTTCTCCACTCTTAGTAAAGGCGTGAATCATAGGAATCCCTGTCTGTGGTGTATCATGGGAGATACAGTCCAACCAGAGAGCCTGGCCTATAAAGGAGAACGGAAGTGTAAAACACCCAGATTAAAATTCCCATGAGGCACTGTGGCAGTATTTTGAAAAGAAAAATCTTAGCTTTTGGGCAAAATTGAAAACCCTTTGGTTGGGGGCATTTGTTTTTTCAATTACATATTGAAATTTTCTCCTGAAAGTAGAGACAAGATGGGTGAGGGAATATATTTTATTGGCCCAACTTCCGTTGGGGGGGGGGGGGGAGAAGAAGCTTTCAAGCTATACAGAGCTCTTCCTCTTCTGCAGAGATCTGTGTAGCTCAAAAGCATGTCTCTCTCTCTCCCTCTCCAACAAAAGTTGAGCCAAAAAAATATATTACCTCACCCACCTTGCCTCTCTAATATCCTGGGACCAGCATGGCTACAACACCATGCCTGAAAGCAGACATTTTCTTTGGAAGATTTTGTTTAATTGGAAATCCAATTTTCCACTGAAAAAAATTCTGACAAACTCTTAGACCAGCCCTAGTGCTGAGTGCCATCAGCTCCCACTGAAGTCAAGCAGAGAACAGAGCACTCAATACTTTGAGGGACTGGACCCCAAATTTTTAGTAATACCTCAGTTGTGAATCTTGGCTTCATTTCGGTCTTGTGTAACTAAATCTCTCAGAAAGGAATTTAACTCGCTACACATCTTACAAATAATGCTGAAGCAACATTCAAATACTTTAAAGAATTCTTATTACTAGTCTGGTTTTTTACTATACAAACTGCTTTATTGCACTTCAAATTCACATATTTAAAAAGTAAAATGTTTTGTTCCATTTTGAAAAATCTGCACCTGTGTGTTGAAATGTTGCATTTTTGCTGAGTTCTTCCTGCTTTGTTACCATCGAACACATATTTCCAACTTGGGAGCCTAAATCCAGACCCCTAAATCCATAATCAGGCACCTGATTTTTGGAGGTGGAGATCTGTATCTGCAGCTCCCATAAACACAAATAGGCACTACAGGAGCTCATCACCTCTGAAAATTAAGGAACCTAAATATGGGTTTAAGTGCCTAACATTAAGCACTCAAGTTGAAATGTTTTGGCTAAAATATTTAGCTATTATTCTATTTTTTAAAAAACTTAACTCACGTTCTCCTCAGTTATCTGTCCTTACTATTGTTAATATTAACTCTTCGGGGTCAGTCATATTGTGCTCTTCCCTTTCATGTAGCAATAGCTCAGCCACGTCTTTTAAGGATCATTTTAGATATAATTTTATTTGAGATGCTGAACTAATGTTGGTGAGATGCGGGTTCAGTCACATACCACTTTGATCTTTGTTCGGTTGAGGTTCCTCCATGCAATACACCTGGAAGCAATCAATGACGTCCCCTTCACTCACAGTCCAATAGACTGCAATTGATGTGCTTGTAGCCGAGTTTGGTTCCTGAGGTAGCAATTTTGGAGTCTGTGGAACTGGAAGACAGACCTTGGTAGTTATTTATACTGCTTGTATTGAACCACACCAACTCCAGCTATGCATGTCATGAGGCAACCAGATGGTTTATTTTCCCTTAACTATGAATACTTGAGATGACAGCCAGTTAAGGATTCATTAAAATAAAAAATAGGGGGACTATTTCAAATAACTGAATAAGGACAATAAAGACGTAATTTTAGGCCAATAAGTTCATATCAATTAGGGATGGGTGAATCAACTGCTAGGAGTGAAATTCGCTGTCTGATTCACTACTCCCATACAATTCCACTGATCTGAGTGGGGTTGGCATAGGTGCAGAGGCTGACAGAAGTTAGCCCAATATTTGTCAAATAGTAAAAATATCAGTGCTATCCAGCTAGGTGAATATTCAGCCCATACGCAGCTACCAGTCTCTAATGGTCCATCTTCTCAGCAGCAGCAATTCCCAGGCTTATGAGTGTTCAGCTAGTTGTTGCTACATGAGTACCAATGAACTCCTCCTCAGACAGCATGCCACAACCAGCAGCATGTGAGCCGCTGGCCTACCTTCACCTCTTCCAAACCTCCCATGAGGCACCCAGAGAGACACAATGACAGTTCTTGGTAGGCTCAAGGATTGAAGCCAAACCCTGAGTCCAAGAGGAGCCAGGCACAAGGCTTCCAACGCCTGGAAGGGCTAAATACAGATTATCAGGCTAGGCAGAGGCAACAGTTATACCTGCAGAGGAGTATGTTTGGATCATATGCATATTTGGAGGCCAGAGTATCATCCAGTTGGTAGGACCCCAGATAAAATAATCCTAAACCCAAATACTGAATTGATCACCAAGGCCTAATACTATCAGATGAAGGCAGGTAAGATTTTTGTTCCCTAAGATGGTGTAGAGCTTCCTAGCTCTACAGGTGCAGATTTTCCTTTTCTGCACAACTGCATCTAGTCAGAATCAGAACTTCTCAGCAGCTAATGATAATATCCCATCTTGTCCATTCTTTTCTTAAAAAAAAAAAAAAAAAGACCATCACACAGGTCTACAATCTGTGATGCAGACAATATTATTCCAGCATTAGAGGCATGATGTAAATGATGTCCTTGTGGGGTTGGGAAAACCAGGGAATGGTAAAGTGGGTCCTTCCCCACCAGCTCAGAGTCCAGTCAGCCTTAGGAGTGCCCGTGTCACTAACTTGCTTTCTCCCAATCTAGATATTAATAGATAGAGGCAGCCTGGGTCTGCCCTTTGGTGATATGGGAACCCGCGTTCCACCATTGAGTCCTGTGATAGCTTTAAGTTTTAAAGGTACCAGGTATGTACTGCAGTGTAGCAAAATCCTTCCTTCCCCTGTCCTTTCCCCATGAGGACTATTAATCTTAATAGAAGAGAGTGAGTCCATGTGCTCAGGCATCTACTACTTTGTAGTGCACTCTGAGGCATAAATTCTGCTGAAGCCTCAAAGTGCCTCTTATAATTTAAACTGTCAGATCAGAAAGTCCAGCAGGAGGGTTACTGTTGTCGGTTGCACTGTATTAGAGAGGGAAGCAGGCTGCCTCTTGGGAGAGCCTATTTTTGCTGAACTGCCCTGGCAGCCTGGGTCTGCCCTGAACAGAGAGATTATAACAGGACAGCACCTCCTGAACAGGAGACCAACCAAAAAGGCGAGTGAAACACGTGTTCATAGGAAATACTACACTAGAGCTAGTTAGTGGGAAGTGGAAGGGAAAGCAGGATTGGATGTACCCCACTGCCAGCCAAGGGAGCCAGGTTTCAGAGGCAGGATTGGATGTACCCCACTGCCAGCCAAGGGCAGAAAGAGTTAATAAGATTCCTTGGAATCTAGGAAAAGTACCTGCCATACCATGAAGACATTGTACAGTCTGTCAGTTCTAGAGGGAGGGGTGACAGCTGGGCAATAGGTCTTTAGAAGAAAGGATGTGAACTATGGGAGAGGCCATTGCTCCCAGAGAGGAACAGACTCTGCTTGGACCCGATGCTAAGTGGGCTCTGCCCTCCAGGGCTCAGAACTTAACAGCATGAAGAGTGAGAGACTGTGTGGAGTCTCACTATTGTTGAACTGTTCCTTGGATGTCCAGAGATGTTTTGTGGGAAGATAATCCTTTCAGGGAGTAGACATAGAACTCTGCTTGAGCTCTGCAAGGCTGCCATACTTTGATTTTGAACCCTATATCATCTGACACCTTGTGACCTGATTGGGGATGCCACAAAGTCCTCTAAGATTTGCATAAACCTCAGATAAGCAGTCAAAATAGAACCAGCCCTCATGAGATTGTTGTTTTTCAGGATTATGAGTCAATGGAAGACAAAACCATATCTCAACATTAAATAGTCTGATTGCACCGAACAAAAATATACACTGTTTTTTCATTTACCTAGTAAATTTCCATGTTACATGGATTCTATAAAGATCCAAGCAGAAAACTTTTGCTCTTTTCAGTTCTCTTCAGACTAATGATGATGATGATCGCCTGTGTCATTAACAAAGTAGATGCTGATGCTAGCTGTTTTCCTGTGGTTTATACAGAGAGCTACTGTAAGATTACATCTGCCTGTCATTGAAAAATTCATCCCTTTAGTTGCTAAAAGCAAACCAGATTTGGGGTTTTTTATTGCATCTAGAAGAGTCTGTCTTCTAATAGTGTCCAGTGGGGAAATTGTTGTGGGTTTTCAGAAGACTTGTATGGGAACCAGAATTCCCATTTAATGGGAAATCATGCAATTTTGAAATTTGTTTCTGTTCCAAATTAGAATGAAAACAACAAAATTCAAAATTCCCCAAACAATGAATTTTTTTGAAAAATTGTTGTTTCAAGTCAATCAAAACATTTAGTTGATATTGAAATGAAAATTTTTGATTTAATACAAACTTTATTTTTTATAATATAGAATAAATTTCAAATTGAAAAGTCATTTCAAAATAGAATATTGATATGTTCCCTTCAGAAAATGTTGAAATGGAATGTACTGACATTATCAAAATGCTTCATGTCGAGGCTTTTTTCCTGAGATAAAATTTAATCAAAACTGACAAGATTCCAGGGAAAGTTTCAGTTTCAATGAAATGGCATTTTCCAATGGAAAAATAATCCATAAAAAAATTTCTACTAGCTCTAGTTTTCAGTGGCATGAAAACGAAGCCAAACGTATAGCATTCCATGGAGGGGTTTTCATAAGGTCAGTGTAACGCGGAGAATGGTCAGTTTCCCCCTCCTTTCATAGTACCCCTGGCAGAAAGTTGCAATCAATGGAAGTGCTTGAGTCAAACAGTAACCTGATTTAAACAGCAGGGGCTGGTGGCAGGTTTTTATCAGTGACATGTCCTTGACTTTGGAATTTGTTCCCTCCTTTTTTCCCTGACAGATTTGATTACATTCTGGGTATGCTGCAAGGTTAATCTATGTCCCCAGGCTTTTACTGAAAGAGTGGGTTAAGTGAAGGGATGAATGGGGAGAAGAAAATTACTGGGTGGGAAGCTCTTAGGGATGCTGAGTGGCTTGAAGGGGAGAATTTTCTGATGTGGTGAAAAGGCTCTGAAAAAAACAACCACCCTATTTTTGCTATTTTATTAACCATTCAGCACCTAGAGAGAGAGAGAGAGAGAGAGAAAGTGCAGTGGATGAGAGGACTTCAAAGATCAAAATCTGAGGAAATTTTATTTCAGTATCAGTGCACCGACAAAGAAGTGGAAGAAGTATGGTCCAGGAGTTATGGCACCTAGGACTGGGAAGACTCTGGTTCAATTCCCTGCTCTGTGACAGGCTTCCTGTCTGACATTGGGCAAGTCACTTAGCCTCTCTGTGGCTCAGTTCCCCAACTGTAAAATGGGTATAATAGCACTTCCCTACCTCTCAGGGGCATTGAGAGCAGAACTGGATGAATACATTTTTCAGCTAGCTGGCTGAAAAAAAAAATCGGAGAAAAAAATTTGCTTTGAATTAACCTGAAACAAAAATGTTCTGGTGATTTGAAAAACTCGAAAATATTTGGTTTTGTTTTCAACTGAAAGAATTTGGTAAATTCAGCATGAATTTGCTAAATTTTTAGTCAACCTGAATGTGTGTTTTTGGCAAATACTCTACTTGCAAAGATAAATCGATAAAGACTGTGAGGCACAGTCACAGATGGTATAGTAATGGACTTCATATAAGTACCTTAAATAGATAGAATAGAGTGATGCAGCAGAGGTGAGCAATGCAAAAGTCGGAGAAGAGACAGCGCAAAAAGGAGGATTAGACAGGAAGAGAAAGGGGCTAGACTGCATAGGGAGCTAAGGGAGAGTTTTAAAAGGTATGGAGGAAAAGAAAAAAGAGGAAGAGATGATATCTTATGTTTATATAGCACATTTAGTTTCAAGGGAATGTAAGGATACAGTGCAGAAGAGCAAGGGAAAAGACTATGTGGAGGAAAAAGGGAAGGAGAGAAATATAGGAAGGGGCTGGCTGGGTTATTGGGAACTGGAAATGGAAGCTAGAGCCACTCACCCCTAGTTTGTCAGTGCAAATCCAGCTCTGGTTGGATGTGCGGTTTGGTTTTGATTGGACACGGTGGTTAAAGCAGATCAAAATAGGAGGGGGAGTTCAGCAACTTTAGGAAGCTAACTTGTTTTTAATCCAAATGTTTGTGGCAAGCAAACACAAAACAAAGGCAAAGCAAATCTGTTGCATCATTTACCTCCTGGCTGTTGGCTGGCAGCCAGAGTAGGAAGGTGGGACTCACCTGCTGGATTGGAAGGGTCAGTTTATAAACTGAATAATAGCATCAAATTTGCTCAAAATCTTTAATAAAAACTGCTAGAGATTTCCTCATAAGTTACTTTTTTTTTACAGCTACAATGGCATAGGGCTGTGTTGGGGTAGGGCCCCAGCACTCAGACCATCACTTGAATGAAGAATTACCTTGATACATCTAAATACATTTACTTCTCTTATTTCTTGAAAAAACATTAAAAATATGTTTTGAAAAGATGAAGAGAATGGTTGGCAGGATGCTGATGGGAGGGAAGCTGAATAGGTGGCTTGCTGCAAAGAACTATGCTGACTCTGAGCTGTTAGTTCTCAGAAATCATAAAACTGAAGAGAAAGCTAGTAATGGATGAAGCTGATAAGCCATGGCCAGTAGACAAACATGGCTTGTTTATTCTCTTAACTTCCATGACTGCTGGTCAGATCTGGATGATCTTCATAGGTAAAATTCACACACACACACATATATGGCACAAAGCGCAACTAAACAGGCTTTGTGAAGAGAACTAAGTATGGGCTGGGGACATAGAATACACCCCATTATCCTCCATAGTCACTGCCCTTGCCTACAGAGTGGGCTGGATCCAGCTACTGCAGCCACTGCTCCTTCATATCCACATGTAGATAGGTTTCCAGCCACTAGATCCACATAAATACACATCCAGTGGCCTCTTTTTTTCAGTCCACCCCCAACTTTTCTCTCCACTCCAGAGGCCTGCTTCCCCAGCAAGGACATGGTTGAGAAGCACACCCGGAATGGCTGCCATATTTGTGACCCCACACACATAGGCACCACGGGGCTTCCTCAGCATGGAGAGTGTTACACAGGCTTAATTGTACACAGACACAATTAGACTTCATTTCCTATTCAGCTCTGATTGCTAATTACACAGGCTCACAACTCCAAACTTTTTTTTTTCAAAGCAAATTCTGATTTTACTTTTTTTTATAAATTCCAGGGCTTTGCCAAAAATGTTCATTTTTTCACAGGATGCACCCATAGATTCTTACCAGCGACACATTTTAAGGTCTTCTGGTCACTTCTCACTGAACTGTCTGCATAATGGTCAAAAAGTGAAAATGCACTGGGCATTTTTTCTAATGAGAGAGAATTATCCATTGCAGAAAGTAACCTATTGGGAAGAAAATATATATCCAAATAAATCCCGGTAGCATTACATAGTTTCCAAAGCTCAAAGATGAACAACATAGGACATGCACTGCTCAGAATATTTCCCATGGATTTAAGAGCAACAAGCAAAGAGAAGAGAACTTCCTAACTTTGGATGTTAAGTAGGGGGTACAGTGTTTAAAATTAGTTCAAGGATATCTTAGCAGTAAATATGAATCCAATCTAACTACAGTGTATATCTGTACACTCATGAACTGTGGGAAAGTTTAGCTATAAAGTTCAGAGCAAGTTCCATCAAGAATATGGGGTTTAAACTTATTGACACTGTCCCTTTAAGTATATTTAAAGTCTACAGAAAATTACATCTATCTACAGAAAGCTGACTTCAGAGACATAATGTAAAGCAGCTGGTTATGAGGAGAAAAAAAGGAAAAGGAAAATGGATTGGACTTAATTAGCCCTTATTTGCTTGGTTCATTATAAAAAACAACAACATATTTTTAACTGAGGCAAAAGCAGCTCCAAGGAAATGGAAGAATTCTTTCTACAAAGCAGTCAAGCAACCCCATTTGTTTTTACACTGAAGTTGTTAGTTGTTCACAGTTTTAAAAGGATATACATAATAAAAATACATCTTCTTTAGAAAGACATGCAGCATTATATAAACCCTTTCCTTAATCTTTTTTAGTAAATGAGATACAATCAATTACAATAACCAAGTTCATGCATAAAACAAACTAATTTTAATATGTAAGCTAATGCTTGTAAATAACATGCAATAAAACCCTAGAAAATTATTTTTGCATAGCCTACTTTTCAATAATCTACAGTATACAAGTAATTGGACAGATTGCCACATGTTGGTATACAATTTTAATGTAGTGGATGTCCCCCAGAGGTCTGTACTGGGCCCAGTCCTATTCAACATATTCATAAATGATCTGGAAAAAGGGTTAAACAGTGTGGTGGCAAAATCTGCAGATGACACAAAATTACTAAAGATAGTTAAGACCCAGGCAGACTGCGAAGAGCTACAAAAGGATCTCTCAGAACTAGGTGACTGGGCAACAAAATGGCAGATAAAATTCAATGTTGATAAATGCAAAGTAATGCTCATTGGAAAACATAATCCCAACTACACATACAAAATGATGGGGTCTAAATTAACTGTTACCACTCAAGAAAGAGATCTTGGAGTCATTGTGGATAGTTCACTGAAAACGTCCATTCAACGTGCAACAGCGGCAGTCAAAAAAGAATGTTGGGAATCATTAAGAAAGGCATGGATAATAAGACAAAAAAATCATATTGCCTCTATATAAATCCGGTACGCCCACATCTTGAATACTACATGCAGATGTAGTCGTCCCATCTCAAAAAAGAGATATTGGAATTGGAAAAGGTTCAGAAAAGGGCAACAAAAATTATTAGGGATATGGAACAACTTCCGTATGAGAAGAAATTAATAAGACAGGGACTTTTCAGCTTGGAAAAGAGACGAATAAGGGGGGATCTGATTGAGGTCTATAAAATCATGACTAGTGGAGAAAGTAAATAAGGAAGTGTTATTTACTCCTTCTCATAACACAAGAACTAGGAGTCACCAAATGAAATTAATAGGCAGCAGGTTTAAAACAAACAAAAGGAAGTATTTTTTCACACAAGGCACAGTCAACCTGTGGAACTCCTTGCCAGAGGATGGTGTGAAGGCCAAGACTATAACACAGTTCAAAAAATAATTAGATAAGTTCATCAATGGCTATTAGCCAGGATGGGCAGGGATGGTGTCCCTAGCCTGTGTTTGCCAGACGCTGGGGAATGGATCACTTGATGATTACCTGTTCATTCCCTCTGGGGCACCTGGCATTGGCCACTGTCAGTAGACAGGATACTGGGATAGATGGACCTTTGGTCTGATCCAGTAGGGCCGTTCTTATGCTCTTATACCACACGACTTCATAGTACGAATCCCATGAATAATGAGAAATGTGAAAGGATGTTTTGAGCACCACTTAAAAAATTAACCCCTTACTCACATATAGAAATTTACAATTTGATGTTTCTTATAATAAAAACTTACTATGTCTTATAGTTATAATAAAATTATAATAAAAACTTCAGTATGTCCCTGAATTGGCCACATATGATTTACCTGGGCCCCAATCGAGCTGAACACTGTAAGCACATGCATACCTTTAAGCACATGACTAAGCACATTGACTTCAGTATTGACAAATCATATGGGATGCATATCAGTATATAACTCCCAGTTAAGTCAGTAAGTGAAGTCCTGTCCCCACTTCAAGAGGAGTTTTGCCATTGACTTCAGTGGGACCAGGATTTCACTCAATAACAGCATTGTGCGCAAAAGGGATGTGGGTTCAGGCTTTATGAATAATAATAAGAGATAATTTGTGCAGATTTTAGCAGAGGGCAAATGACTTTAAGATTAAATTCTCTCTCATCAGGATGAGTCCCACTAAATGGAACCCCCAGTGGCAAATCAGATAAGGCATAAGGGTTTGATTATGGGTTTGGGGGTTTTGTTGGTGTATGTGTTTGTGGCGGGGACGGGGATACAAACACGGATGAAATATCAGTCAAATTCAAACTTCACTAGAGTTGCAACCATTTATACTAACTCTGAAATTATCCCAGCAGTTCCACCCATATAAGTGACATGTTGGATGATTTTCATTAAGATTTTATCTCATATGGAAATTACAGTAGTAAAATATGAACACTTCAAAACAGGGTATTTAAGGCAGAAATCTAAGCATTATCAGAATGCTCTTACATAATTACAAGCAACAGCTATTTAAGAGCGGCTACGCAGAATATTCCAAGTGATCTGACATTTTAAAAAAGCTATATTTATTATGATTTAAGTTATGAATTATAAAACACATGCAAAACCCTTCAAAAGCTGTCAGCTACAGTAACATGTGTAAGATTTCTTCCCAGACTATTATTTGTGGTTTTGAAAGCAGATATTTATACTGGAAGCATGCTTTCAATAAAGGTAGAAAGTATTAAATAAAGCAGCCAAACATGCTAATCCTAATGTTCACTACAATGCACCTAAACCACATTTCATATACCTTTTATTCATTTCTTTAGATAACTAATAGAGAAAGGGGAAAAGAACATATTAACAATAAAAAACAGAAGTCAACATAATATTAAAGCAAGTAATTTAAAGACTGATTCTGCTCTTTTCTGTTGATGTAAATAAGCACCACTTCATGGACTACACTGGAAATTTTCCCATACACACCAGCAGAGAATTTAGGTCTCCAAGTATTTTCCCCTCTTTAAGGCCATGAATGACCCAACATGGTACCTAAGCACATGCCTAGCTTTAAGCACAATTAGTCAGTATTCATTACTCATGCTTCAGGTGAAGCACAAGTCTTAATTACTTTGCTGAAACAAGTCGTAAGTTACGTTTACAGGAAGAGATATAATTTCTACATTAAAACATTACGGTCCAAATTCCGAGACCAAAATTGGCTCCACATTGCTGACCCTTAGAAGCTCCACGACCTTTACACCAGTTGAGCTGGGGATAACTCCCATGTCATGGGAATCCTCAGCTGTCTCTTTAGCAGCACAAAGAGGACAGTGAACAGATCAGTGAACAGATGGGGGTTCCTCCATTCCTTATAGAAAAAGCCAGAGGATCTCAGCATTGCCAGCCTCAAGAGATCAAAAATCATGAGTTAAAGACCCCCAAAATTAGGAGATTGGCCCCCCAAATCATGCTTTTTTAAAAATAAATTAAAAAATGACTATTTTGTGAGGGCTTTTCAGCCTTCATGTCTGCCCATCCCCTGCCCAGCAATGAATTCTGCCCCATCCAGCCCCCACCCCATCAGCTTAGCCCCCAGCCCTCACCAGTGCAGCCCCCCCAAGTTCACTCCCCCCAGCTCCCAAACTCTCAGCTTTCCCACCACCTCAGTTCAGCCTCCCCAACCCCCATCCCCTTAGTCCTACCCCACAGCTACATCTTTGCTCCTCCTAGGCTTCTTCGTACCCTCTCCCAGGTCTAGGGGAACTGCAGTAGGTCCCTTATCCCCCATCCAGGCCAGGGGAGAAGCACTTGGGGCTGGTCACAGGAGGAAGGAGTGGAGTCACCCTGAGCTGCTGCATTCATTGGGCACGTCTACACAGCAAAGAAAAACCCGCAGCTGTCCTGTGCTATCTGGCTCTGGCTCATGGGGCTTGGGCTGCAGGGCTGTTTCATTGCTGTGTAGACTTCTGGGCTTCGGCTGGAACCCTCCCACCCTGCAGGATCCTAGGGCCTGGTTTGCAGCTCAGGTCCAGAGGTCTATACAGCCATGAAACAGCCCCACAGCCCGAGTCAGCTGGCACGGGACAGCCACAGGTTTTTCTTTGCCATGTAGACTTACCCTTGAGCTCCCTCGCCGCCTGCTATGAGAATGGCTTCAGGATGTTGCGGGGAGGGGAGGAGAGGGCTCTGCCTGTAATAGATGACTCGTTATTCTGCCTTGGGGGCAGACAAGTGAGGCCAGAAACTAATCAGGGAGCGCCAATTCACCAGAGGGCTGGAGCCTCTTGCATTATTGAGAGACTGGGTCCCGGTCCAGCCCCAGCCAAAATCGTGTAACTTGCAGAAAAGCTGTGAGAGTTGGCAATACCAGGATCTTTAACAACCACATGTAGTTAGGGCCCCATTTTTACATCTGACCTGAGAAATGGCACATCCAGTGGCACATGCCCCCACATATTGTGATGGGTATTGAGTCAGTACTGACACAGAGGGGGAAGTGCCACTCACTGAGTCACTGACAATTGTTGCAGCAATGGTGCATTCCTATGGGCATAGATTTTGGCCAGTGATTCCTGCATCTAACCCAAAAACCATTTAGAGATTGTAAGTAATGGAGAATTTTCCCCAACCCTTGGTAATCTGTTGCAACGGTTAGTTACCCTGACTGTTAAAAATGTGAGTCTTTTTTCCGGTTTGGACTCTTCTGACTTCAATTACCATTTCCATTTTCTTCCAATTTCTTGTTACACCATCATTTGCTGTAATAAAGAATCCTCTCATAACAGATATCTTCTCTCTGCTTATTATAGATTGTGACTGAGTCATCTCTTAATCTGCTCTTCAATAAGCTAAATAGAACGAGTTCCTTTAGTGTCTCACTGTGAGGCATTTTTTTCCACATGACATATCATTCTTTGACCTCTTCTCTGAACCTTCACATGACCCAGCAGTTCCAGACTGGCGTATCTGAGATTTCAGAATTAATTTACCTCAGAAGACAAAGTAGGTCTGAGGATATTATATCAAATGCCATGTGTGACTAATATCATTAAGGTTTCTGTTATGAATGTAATTCGTACTTACATTTAGGAAAAGAACATCATCAAGTTCTTCTGTTTCCTTTACAGTCATCTCCAAGGTTTCCTTCGCCTCAACAATACTTTGCTGAAAGTTAACCATCTGTTCATACAAGTATTCCATTTTCATCTTCTTCACCTCCTCAAAGTTCTGGGACTTCTCATCATACTGGGCTATCACTGTCTTAACCAGCTCTTCATTTTGGTCTTCTAAAAACTGCTCCTTTTTTTTACTGTTTTCCTGGAAAATAAAACATATGAAAATCTGAGAAGTAAAACTACATCAGTGAATGAATGTACATAAAACTCTCTAAATTATGTAAACACCAGCTATCACTCAGGCAGCCTTTGGCAGCCTTACAAAAAGACATATGTAATTATCTAAGCCAGTTCATGTATAAGAAATATTATTAGGTAAATACTTTAAAAACAATGGCCAAGATTTTTGAACTTGAGTGCCTAAAGTTAAGGTTTCTGTAGTTAGGCACTTAAATAAGAAGCCTCATTTTCAGAGCTGCTGAACATCCAAATTTCCTATTGAAATCAACATAAACTACAGGAACTAAGCATCTCTGGGCAGGGCATCAGAAGACTCATTTAGATGCCTGAACATGAATTTAGGTGCCTAACTTTAGGTATCCAACATTTGAAAATGCTGATCCATGTAAAAGTTTTAATTTTTCAACAAAACCGATTGAAAGTGCTATCACAATAATTTCCCCATCCAGTGGGGAATATTCCACATAGCATTCATTGTGCAGCAGCCCCGTATAGTAAATCAACTATATATTTTTCTCAGTTAATCACTCATAGTAAGGAAACTTTAAGGACTAGTGAAACAGACAATTCCTGTGTAAATGATAACATGAAACTACAAAACAGTATAAAAATATCTTGAAAGGACTGACAATATTGAAGGAGAAAACTGGAGTAGTGTAGATATTAGACTTACCTCAACAGAATTAAACAGGGATTCTATTTCACTAACCAACTCCTCAAACTTCATTGACCTTTGCTGTAATTCTCCTAGAAATTCATCTAATTGATCCTGAAATAAAAAAGTGGCAGCAAATTTTCTAAATATGATGGTTGTGAAATACTGCTTTATAAAGCTTTCACATAAAATATATATGTAATGTTTCACCTCTAGATGTTATTAGAACAATTGTTAAAATTAATTTCATAGCTTCACCATGACTTGAAATGCAAGCACAGGAATAGTGGTTGGAAAAGGTATAATACCAATTTCAAAGAAGAAGCAACAATTGATCCTTCAAGGTGCTTATGTGAGGTGTTTCTCACCCGCAATTCTCACTGGCTGTGTGGGAATTTGAGGGTGCTCAGCACTGCACAGGAGTGCTCAAGAGACTGCAGGATCAGGCCCACAATGAGAAGAGAACACAAGTAATTGTTACAGGCTAGCCTATGCAATAAAGTATCTAGGGAAATAAACATAAATATAGATGTTCCCAAGGTTCACTTTTAAATATTTTAAATAAATATACACAATTTAAACTATGTATATATTATACACTGAAGGTCTGAACTTGCATTCCTTTTGCACCCAAAACTCCCATCCAAGTCGTTGGTTGTTTTACGTGTTCAAGAATACAGAATAAGGCTCTAGGAATAATAAAGACAACATTGACCAGGTATTATAATAATAATAGAGCTTGTCTCAATGCAGCAGTCCTTCTTGACCTTCCTTGAGAGAGAGCTGGCCATCTGCTCATATGCAATTCAGATTTCATAAGTGCACTTGGTTTTAATTAATTTGTATACTTCTGAATGGAAAGTTAGAGGAAGGCTGGTAGCAGCTTCCTATAATTTGGCAAACTTCGACATCTAAAATGAAAAATACCACATGTGACCTCTGAATTATAAATATCATATTCTATTGTTAAATTGATAAATATTTAGGATTGATCACTTTGAGATTCCACTGTGAAATTCTGTTTGTGAAGATAATGGCTCTGTCAGTCTTTATAGGTTAACAGCTCATTTCACTTAACGTGAATTTCTTTTCCAATGCCAAAAGCTGAGCATTGTGTTGTCTTTGTATTTCCTTAGCAATTATAGCTGTGTGAGTAGCAAAAACTACACGTAGACAATCTAAGAGTAACATGAGCTTTGGCTGGTAGAAATCATGTGAAGTCAGACGTGTGTTGTGGCCAGATTTAATTACTGGCTGTGTCTCCAAGGTCCACAGTCAGGGAATGACATCAGGGGACATATCCATCTCTGGAGTAACTCCACTCACTTCAGTGCAACTACACCAGGGACGACTTCAGAGCTGTGACTTTATTAGTGACATTTTGGCAGCTGATCATAATTCACAGCCAAAGCAGGAAATGCCACAGATAAAAAGTGATAAAATGTGGTACATGCACAGACTAGAGAAAAAGAAAAATAAACAGTTGCAAAATTTTGTGCCTATTTATATTTGCGGGCACTATTTCATCATCTTATAATTTTTTATTCTTATTTATGAATTAGCATTATAATAATCTAGTGCAACAGAACATATGCCAGAGATCCACTTTCAGGCCAAATTCAAGGGTGAAATGTATACATTTAATGTTAGTACAGTGGTGTAAGAGAGTGAAAGTAACTTACGTGCAAAGAGGCCAGAATGAGATTCAAAAAGGTGCAAGTTAAAGGTGAAATCAGTGGGGAATTCTGCTTAAAAACTGGCACAACATGGCTCAGAATTTTTAATAAAGTTCTAATTGCAAAATGGTTATTATTGGTGACTGTGCACAATCTAGAAAACACAGGTGACTTTCAGACGCTGGATTCAGATTGCGGAGCTGGTAACTAGAAAAGCAATACCTTTTGACTGGTGAGCTGAGCAAATTTGATATGGAATAAATGAGATCATAAAGATGAGACCTCATACCACCATTTTTACAGTCACTTTTCAGAGCCAAACTGCAATTAAACAGACAAGTTTCTAGAGAAGTGAAAAGTGTTTTCACAAGTATTTATATTGTAGGAGTATTTGGATGTAGTCATTATACATAGTATATTAATTAATGCATACCTATGGATTAATACTACATAATACTAAATTGTAACACTGGCAAGAATAGTCTTGCTAGAATTATGGATGAGATTAATTTTAATTTCACACCCTTATTTTTGAGTTTGTTTCAACCTTTTATATTGGATAGATCTGACAATTGATATCCTAGAGGCTGGATGCAAATTATTTGAAACATCAACAGTGGTGCACATTTAGGCTCCATATCAGGCACTTCTCTCCCCTCCCCTGAAGACAATAAGAGCTTGTCTGCACTACCACAACAACCAAATGAAGGAAACCGATTAAAAAACTAGGGTCTAATGTGTAGTAAGAGGTAAGATTTTAGCCATGTTTTGTAACCAAGCTAAAGCATTTGTCTGACCTTTGTACTTAAACTGGACTGCTAACAATCTTGTGACAATGTCAGTGCAAGCATATAGAGGTTACTCTACAATGTCAAAGTGAAATGAACCAGTGTTACTAAAGTTATGCCTCTTCGCATGCCAAAAAAAAGCCACCTATATTAAGGATGATGCTAAAACTAGGAAAGCTTAGTAAATGATAACATGATAACACCCAGGGTCCACACTGGGCGAGGAAGGGGCAGAATCATAAGCCAGCATCCTTCTCCTCTGCTACCACCTTCTCTTCCTTGTCCTGTGAAGAGGCCACTGACTATCCTCAGCAGTTTACTCCCTCCACCCCAGAAGCACAACCCTAATCCTGGCCAAGGGTAGAAGGGAGGCTGGGGGCAGGCGGGAGGGGAAAGGATACAACCTCAATACCCCACAATGGCTGCTCCTGTCCTGCAGGGCTGGGCCCAGCTCCCCACTCTGGGTGTTGTGACCCTGGCACAAGACCAGGGTCACAGCGCCTCTCAAGGTTTGGCCCAACTACCCCTCAGAGGGAAGGGAGCTAGGCCCAGCCCCATGGGACAGGAACTGCTGGTGTGGGGTGTACTTACCCTCCACCTCCCCCTCCTCCCCGGGACCTCACTCCACACTGGGTCCATGACCCATCTACAATCTTTCCGTGACCTATTCCAGGAACCACCATTTAGGAAACACTGGTATTAAAAAAGTGCATTGTAATAATCCAGCCCAAGGATGACTAAAGCATTGACAACTATGGCAAAAGGAAAAGTTCCTGTTAACGGATAGCATACATAGAAACTGAAAACCAAAATACTTGCATTCTCTCTACTGAATCTGGAGCAGTCTCCAACTAATAATTTCCAATCCCAAATCTGGGCTAAGGTTAAAGATGAAAGATACATATTTTAAACTACATAGTCAATCAAGTAATCCTTTATTTATCTTCAATTATGAAAATGCTTACCTTCATATCCATTACAGCAGTGTCCAGTGTTGTCACATCATGGCCTTCATGCTCCCCAAAAAGCTTGTCAATAGCAGAAATTGGGCACCTGCACTGGCAGCAATAAGTATCAACATGGGCCTTCTTAATTTCTTTTTGTGGACTCTCACTTTCAGATATGCCTAGTGATGATTTTTCAGAATTCATCATCACAAAGCCTGAATCCTCATGTTCAATGGGTGTCTCTTGCTCTGTCTCATTTACAAATTCATAACTATAGCTAATCTGCTCAAAAGATTCCCTGTCTTCAAACAACAAATCTTCATGTGCCAATTCAGAGGACATTTCATCTTGCAAAAGTTCTTCTTGGGTAATCACTTCATAATCCATTGACTCGGCAAGATGTTCATCAGTCTCAAAGCACTGCTCCTCTCTTGTTGAATCTGATGGAAAGTTATCAAAATCATGTCTAAAAGGCTGTAAGTCTAAATCACCTGATGCCTTATCGAATTTTACTCCAAGTTCTGGAAGGCCAGTCTTAGCTACTTCTAGGTTATGCTTTGCTATATCATCGGCAATATTTTCTCTGACTGTTTTTTCATTTGTCTGCTCATCTGTATCCAATAGATATTTTTCCCTGCTTATTTTTTTGTTCATACGATCATGGTCTAAATCATATGCCTCTTTTGTCATGGGATGAAGGTGATTATTCAAATATGAAATTAATTGCTCTGGTTCCTGAGGTGTATGAACATATTGATTGCTTTCACTTTCATCAACAGGTGTTCTGCCATGAAGCACGTAATTATCCATTTTATTAACTGCTGCTATTTCATGTCGTTCTTTCTGCTCATCTGTTAGAGGAGTTACTGGCTTTGATTTATCTTGCACGGATGCTTCTTTTTGATTGGTAATTACCTCAGAATCTAGTACTTGACTGGACTCTTCATGACTCACTTGCTCTGACAATTCCTGGTGTGTTGCTGCAGGTGCATTTTCTTCGTCTCTTTGACTAGTGGGATCATTTCTTGCACCTGAAACATTAAGCTTGCTTCCAAAAGGAATTGCCTGAGTTGGCTGACAAATTGTTACTTTAATATAACTAATAAATGGGATTCTCTCTCCTGCCATAATTTCTCCTTCTGACAAGATCTCGGTTTTGGTGGATTCTTCAGCTAAAATATGAACAGATTGCTGCTCCTTTTCAATTACCTCATAAAAATCCTTATGTTTGTCTCCTGAAAGCCTCAGTTGGCCTGACACGTCTTTATTAATAGACTGAGCCTTTGAAACCTGATCTTTTTGAGACCCAGCCACATTACAAGGAATATCATCTTTAAGAATGTATTTTTCAAAATATATTCCAGTTTCATCGTCTGTGTCAGAATTTCGAGGAAAAGATGCATCAGAATTCCCACTTTCTTCATCAGAAGGAGGCTCATTTTCACCTTTTGCATTTTCTCCCACTGCTTCTGCATAGAGGTCCTTGTATAAAAATGCCAGTGCAGGTGGCTCCTCTAGAAGTTCTGGGTTAATCGCGCTGACTGATGTGGGAAACAACGTAGATCGTTCTAACACTCCTTCTTCTGTATCAAATAAGGGTGTGCCTGCTAACTTCTGTTCATCTTCTATATTTATCACTTTTTTACTACAATCAATTGATTTTTGCATAGTCAAAAATTTCTGAGCATCTGCAGAAGTCTGCATCTCACTTTCTTGTTCTATCATTCCATAAAAGGCTTCATCCAAGTCATTATCTAGTAAAGTAAATTCATCTTCCAAAGTATTAACATCAGAACTTCCAGTTGAAGAGATGGCTTCTTCTGTATGCTTCTTACGATTTGCCATTACAGCAACAAAGGGAGATAGCCCCTGAACAGATAGCTCAGTGGGGGATTTGTCATCAATCAAAGTATACTTTTCAAAATAATCCACCTCAGTGGTACTCTTGTTAGGATTCAAAACTTCGCCACCTTTATTTTCTGACACAGTGGAAATTTCCTCCTCTGTTTCTACAATTTCCTGAGCATCTACTTCTTCAACAAGTTCTTTTTGTTTCATATCTTTACCGCTGGTGTCATCTGTCACTGAGTTTTCTGAAATTTCTGTAGCTGTTCCATGTGCTGACACTTCCTGGTCACCACAATCAAACAGTTTTGTTTTAATGAGGGTATTTGTTTCTAAGTATTCTAGTTTATCTGGCATGTGTTTGCTTTCTTCTTCATCCACTGAAGAAATGAGTGGGACAACATGAATATTCAAAATCTCATAGCCTTCTGAAATGATATTAAACATATCTTTTTGTTCATCAGGTTCTGGAGTATATTTCGATTCTTCTGCAGAGTTCACATGTTCTGTTAATTTCTCTTCTCTCGGTGGATAATGTTCAGGCTCTTTTGACCCTGCTTCTACATTTGAAAAATGCTGTATTTCTTCTGCTGTTGAAAGGTCTCCAATGCTAGTTTCTGTTACATTGTTTAAATTTTTATCTGAGACTGGATTACCTGGTAGTGAGGAGTATAAATTATGTGTGTGGATTTCATTAATGGGCTCTGATAGGAGATTACGGGAAGCTTCATTTGAAACAAAATCAGATACCATTGTCATCGCTGATTTATTCTCATTAGTACTTTGGGCTGTACGTGCTGTCTGAAGTCTACCTGGAAATTGTTTTGATTCAAAGTATTCAGCTTCATTTGGAAAAGACTGAATTTCTTGCTTGTCTGCTTCGTTATTATTTGTAGGATCAGCATAGCCAGTTTTTGACTCTTCTGACAACAAATCAGTTTCTTCAAATGCATACGCTTGAATTTCTAGAGTCTCTGTTTCATTAAAAGGCTTAACTAAGGTGGTTTTTAACTGTGTTGATGGGAAACTGTCTACTTCAGCTGAATAAGACTGATTTTCTTGCATCACGGTTTCATCAATAAAGTCTGATGAAACAGCCATTGATTGTTCAGATGACGTATATTCTGTGTCAGGCAAAGAAGAATCAATATCATGCCTCTCTTCTTCATTAATGGAACCAGCTGAAAAGTTCAAAACTTCTGAAACCAAGTCTGGCACTTCATGTGCATCAGGTTGTATTTCTTGCTTATCACTTTCAGCAATGAAGGTGGGAGAAGGAGCTGTTAACTGTTCTGACAGCATGTATTCTGTGCCCAGTGAATAAGCTTGAAGTTCTTGTCCATCTCCGTCATCAGTATGCATTAGTGACATAGTGACTAACTGTTCAGACATCAAGTTTTCTATTTTAGGTGAATGTAGCTGAATTTCTCGCATCTCTGTTTCATCAGTGTCATATGATGAAACCAAAGAGTGACACTTTGATTTTGCAGGCTTGGGTCTATATGGCTGAATGTCTTGCTTCTCTTCCTCATCAATAGAATGTGACCCAACTAAATGTTCAGGCACAGATTGTGCAGTTACAGGTGAATAAGATTGAATTTCTTGGGGAATTACTTCATCAACTGAATAATATGAAAGTGAATGTTCAGGCTCCAGTCCTGCAGGTCCATGTGAATAACACTGATTTTCTTGTGTTTCTGTATCTTCAATAGGATATGATAAAATTAAATGACCAGATTCCAGTTGTGGAGTTATGGATGAATAATGTTCAATTTCTTCACTCTCTGTTTCAGATAAAACTAGATGTTCAGACTCGAATTGTGCAGGTACAAGTAAACATGGCTGAATTTCTTCATTCTCTGCTTCTTCAATGGAATGTGATAAAATTCGATGTTCACACCCCAATTGTGCAGCTTGTTTTTCTGTTTCACCAGTGGAATATGATAAATCTGAAAGCTCAGACTCTGGTTCTGCAGTTACTTGTGAATAACACTGACTTTGTGTTTCTGTTTCATCAACAGGATATGATAAATCTACATTTTCAATCTCCAGTTGTTCAACTGCAGGTGAATAAGACTGAATCTCTTGCTCTTCTGCTTCTTCAATGGAATAGGATAGATCTGAATGTTCAGATTCTGCCTGAGCAGATATGGGAGTATGTGGCTGGATAGCTTGCTGCTCTGAATGTGCAGACTCCAATTGTGCAGTCTCTTGTTTCTCTGTTTCACAAGTAGAATATGATATATCTGGTTGTTCAGATTCCAATTGTGCAGTTACAGGTGGTGAATAAGGATGAATTTCTTGCTTTTCTGCTTTCTCGATGGAATATGATAAATCCAGATGTTCACATTCTGATTGTGCAGTTATCGGTGGATAAGGTTTAATATCCCGCTTTTTTGTTTCAGATAAAACGGAATGTTTAGGCTCCAACTGTGTAGCCACAGGTGAATAAAACTGAATTTCTTGCTTCTCTGTTTCCTTGCCAGTACGTGATGAACTAGAATGTTCAGAGACAGATTCTGTAGATATAGGCACATAAGGCTGAGTTGCTTGCCCCTCTGGTTCATTAATATCATCTGTTGAAATGGTCCTTGTGGTCAAAAATGAATTAGGCTGAATTTCCTGGTAATCTCCTTCATCAATAAGATATGATGTAATGGACAGCGGCTGTTCTGAGGTCACATTTGCAGTCTCAGGAGGAAAGGGCTGTATTTCTTCTTTCTCTGCTGTATCCATAAGATCTGATGGCTCAGACATTGACCATTCTGATATTGATGTTATGCGCATGGGTGAACTTGTGTGGATTTCCTGCTTCTCCTCTTCCTCAATAAGGTATGATGAAAAAGACAGTGACTCTTCTGATATCTCATGTAGTCTCTCAGCTGGAGAAGACCGTGTCTCTTTTCTCTCTTCTTTATCAAGAGGAACTATTACACCCACATTTGAAAAACTGCTAGATTCAATATTTGTTTCGACTTGTTTTATATTATGAAGTGAGCCATCATCCTCATCAGTGCAATCCCTTTCAAGATGCTCCAAAGGTGTTGAGGAAAGGCTTTGATTTAGGAATCCTTCGTGCTGTTGTTTCTGCTTCCTTTTTATATCCGATGGCATAGCTGGATCCTTACTACCTTTCTTTCGGAAAAAAATTGGCGTTTCTTCTTCTGAAATTGAACTGAACTTCTGGATTTTAGCTCTTACAGCTCCATTAAGGGCTGGCCTTCCTTTTTTCAATTTTTTTTCTTTACCCATGGACTTTGAGGCAATTGGAGCACGTGACACTGGTTCCCCAGTAAGGTCTGGCAAACCCTCTTTATCTTTTGAGGTTTCTGCATCCATAGCTTGTGCTTCCAGTTCAGCAGCATTTAACTTAGCATCCTGCACTTCTGCGGGAGCATCTCTTAATTCTTGCATCTGCATTCCGGACAAGTCACTCTTTTTGCTACCCTGGCCTCCCTTCAAGTCTGACGTCCTATCTGATGATTTGCACATCCTTTTCCGGACAGTCTTACCTTCATCCATGAGAAAGATAACTTTCCCTGGGGGAGAATCTACAGATGAACTTTCAACACTACAAAGATCAGAAGTAGCACTAGCTTCTGAGGCCCAAGGAGTGGAACATCTGCTTGAGCTGGTTTCCCATGTTATTCCACTATCTTCACTTTGAACTGTTACCATAGAAAAGGAAGGGTCGGACATGATGCATTGTAGCTTGGGTTTCACATCTTCATTCTGGATAATGTCCTTTAAACTACAATAATAAATAAATAAAAGTATGATAGGATCATTTATTATAAAAAAATCAATTACAGTAAAATCAAACATACCTAAGGAAAACGATTTTTCAGATTTAACTACTGTAACAAATATAGGCATAAATAATGTAACATTTTGTCTGACAAATCCGCTGTTGGCACTGGTAACATCGTATGTTGTAAAATTGTATAAAAACACTAAGAACTTCAAATTTTATCTCACTTATGCTAGCGTGAGGTTAGAGTCTGGCTTTAAAACTTAAAGGAAGCTTAATGTTCAGCAAAAATCTAAGCATGAAACAAATCAGCAATATCACTAAAGATCTAAGGCCTGATTCTCCAATGCTTGATACCTTGTGGAGTTATTTAAACCTGTACTATGTTGGTGTAAATGCTGATACACTGATTTAGTAGCATTTTACACCTACTTTGCACAGATGTAAATGACTAATTCAAAGCACAAGGCAGGGGAGATTCAGGCCCATACTTTATTACTACCTCTTAGTTCTCTTCATCTTCCAACTCTATGAACTTTAATTTATTAATTTAGGTCAATTCTGTGTACAAGGGTGTTACAAATAATAAAAATATTCCTCCAAAATCATGGGTTTATCTGAGTCCAGTGTGCTCTAACATGCCAATACATTATTAGTTAACCATGATTTTATAAAGAAACTTTTAAAATATTTATGGTACATAAAATTCCAATAGCTATAATTTCTATCAGTGATTTAAGTATATTGTTTCAGGAAAAACCTACAGAACCATTTACCTCATCCAGCTTTATAAACTACAGCAGCAAAAAAAGTTAAAACGATTAAATAATTAAGGATAAAGTCACAAATTTATTTCAGTAAAGAAATGTGAAGAGTAATATGGAGAAAATAGAAAAAAAAAGACTATCAGAAAATATTCAATCCTCTACATTTCTTCAGTACCCAGTACCTTAAAAATTTCCATTTTTAAAAGCAAACCACAGAGAAGGCAGAAGAGGTCATCGATTAGCCATCTTGCTAAGGAAAAGACTTTAAGAAGACCTGTAACCTACCTAGCAACTGACTGAAGAAAAACTGCCAGTGTCACCAGCCCCATCTGACTGAGTACAAAGAAGAGCTTGGAAGAAGAGCTTTGTGTATGCTCAAAAGCTTGTCTCTCTCACCAACAGAAGTTGGTCCAATAAAAGATAACACACCCACAACATGAACTCTCAAAGCCTACGTCATGGGATGAGGCAAACTTGCAGCTGAAAGATCCTGCTTCCACTAAATAGAAGGAGATAGTCATGCTTTGAACTACCTTTATCTGGCTAATACAATGTAATTACACAGATAGGAATGAAGAGCTAACCTGTGATTATATGAGACTCAAGGATCAGAGCCAGGTGGAACTCATTGTATTAGTGGACACAAGGAGGAGGCTGAGCAGCACTGAATTTGTTTCCAGATGGCAAGTGGAGATTAGAGAAAAAGCATAACTACAACCATGACAACCACATTGATTTCAAAAACACTCCTCAACATATGGTAGAAGACATATATTAAAGCACAAGGAGAAAAGAAAACTCATCAAAGGAGTACAATTGTCTTCAGAAAAACCTTAAACTCCAAAAACTAGAAGCATACAGCCCCCACAACTCTTGTGCAAAAGTACCCAGCAAAAGTAGTTGTGTGTCATGCCTGTCATCCAGGCAGAACTGAATGAAGCATGACAATTCTGTTTCACAGCAACTTTTGAGGTTTTGAAATTTGTTTTCAATACACACTGGAAAGAAAAACACTTTCAAACACATTTGTGAAAACAGAAGAGCTTGTTTTATAAATGTAACTTTTTATTTATATCATAAAAGTGTTTAAAAGAAGTTGGGGGGTGGAGACACTCATTGGTTAAACTGGGGAAGAGGAAGGAATTGTTGCAGTAAGAGGAGGGGAGTGGTGGAGAAAAAGCGAATTTGCCTGGGTGGGAGACAGAAATGGAAGAGAAAAGTGAAGGTTAGAAGGAAATGGAAATGAGAGTGAGGCTGGGAAGCTGAATGACCACAACCAATGCTACACAATGAGCCAAACAAGTATTCAGAGCCCCAGGGTGCAGAGCTGCTGCTATCTTCCTGGAGAGGCAGAGTGGAGTTCACTGGGCCTGATCCCCTAGGGGGTGGGGTGGAGTGCGAGTGTCAGTGAGAGCGAGAGCCAGATATATGGGAAGCTGGAAGCCTCTCCCTTCCTCCCTGAACCGTCAGGTGCAGTTAGTATTGGGTCTTTGGGAAATGAGCCCAGATCCATAGGACACTTCCTGTGAGCTCCTCCTGGCTGCTGCTGATTTTGTTCCCCATTTAATAAGGAAAAAGGGAGACCACAGGACCTGACTTGCCTCTACTGCTCTCACCAGTGCTGGCTATTTTGAGGAAGGAGCCCCCAGATGTCAAAGGATTTCCATAGCCCACACCTGAAAGCTCTTCCTCCCTCATGGAGAGTAGCAGCCAGGGATGGAAAAGAGGCCATGGGCCTTGTGCCCTGAACAGGTCCCTCTGGGTTTGAAAAAATGGTAAAGATCCTCAGAGCTGCACGACCCAAATACCATGGGTGAGAGAAGGCAGTGTTGGCAACAGCCCAATTCAGATTAGCCAGTAGACAGGAATAGGAAACTGCAGCAGGAATCCTGGCATAGCTGTGCAGGACGACATGCCAGGCTGACCCAATGTACAGTGGCAATTTCGTAGTCAGGGAGCATCTTACTGTGGTTCCTGCTATTTTACACTTTCAGTGAGTGGTAACACAGGCATCCACCAGTTTGTTCATTTTGAGCCCTTTTACTTAAAACCTCAGCCCTAATGGAGAATTTCCTGGGCCCGTACTTCTTTGTGCCCACATTCTCGTGTGTTGTGGTAGGATAACATCTTTACACATCCAGTATACAGCCTACTGATTGCATAAGGCCTTTGTATACTCCACACCTTGTTTCTTTCTCCTCTCCTCACCTAGACAGAAGGTGCTGACCTATTTGAAAGAGACTAAAAAAAAAAAAATACTGAAACAAACAAAAGAAAACACACTCTCCAACTCCCATTTACTTTAGTAGGTGGGTCTAGAACACCTATGCTTACAAACTTACATTTACACCACTGTGACAGTCCCCTCTGGGCCCCTGCCACATCCCACTCACTGGCTGCCATGCAGCTCCTTCTCCACACTGGATAGCAGAACCTCTCACCTACCCAGACCAGTCCACTACTCAAGTTAGACTCCTCAATCCACTTCTCCAGTTTCCTTCAGGCTGAGGGCAGACTCTGACCCTGCTATACCGCCTCTCACCATCTTCTTGGCTTTGTCTCCGTTTAATTGCAAGGAGGGTTGCCAAGCCTCCAAGACTGTCCTGGAGTATCCAGGAATTAAAGATTAATCTTGAATTAAAGATTATTTCATGTGATGAAATCAGGAATACATCCCAACAAAATGGGCAACTCCAATTGCAAGGAGGGCATGATGTTGTTTTTTTAATGGCAATTCTCCAGAACCTCATATTGGTCTCCCAGTTCACTTGCCTTCTGAGATTTTATCCTTAAAAAAAATAATCAACCCAAATAGGTACAGGAAATGGTTACAACAATATAATGTTTGGTTATCTTTATTTTTCTGAGTATTTGACGCTGGGAGTCATAGAATCATAGAATATCAGGGTTGGAAGGGACCCCAGAAGGTCATCTAGTCCAACCCCCTGCTCGAAGCAGGACCAATTCCCAGTTAAATCATCCCAGCCAGGGCTTTGTCAAGCCTGACCTTAAAAACCTCTAAGGAAGGAGATTCTACCACCTCCCTAGGTAACGCATTCCAGTGTTTCACCACCCTCTTAGTGAAAAAGTTTTTCCTAATATCCAATCTAAACCTCCCCCACTGCAGCTTGAGACCATTACTCCTCGTTCTGTCATCTGATACCATTGAGAACAGTCTAGAGCCATCCTCTTTGGAACCCCCTTTCAGGTAGTTGAAAGCAGCTATCAAATCCCCCCTCATTCTTCTCTTCTGCAGGCTAAACAATCCCAGCTCCCTCAGCCTCTCCTCATAACTCATGTGTTCCAGACCCCTAATCATTTTTGTTGCCCTTCGCTGGACTCTCTCCAATTTATCCACATCCTTCTTGAAGTGTGGGGCCCAAAACTGGACACAGTACTCCAGATGAGGCCTCACCAATGTCGAATAGAGGGGAACGATCACGTCCCTCGATCTGCTCGCTATGCCCCTACTTATACATCCCAAAATGCCATTGGCCTTCTTGGCAACAAGGGCACACTGCTGACTCATATCCAGCTTCTCGTCCACTGTCACCCCTAGGTCCTTTTCCGCAGAACTGCTGCCTAGCCATTTGGTCCCTAGTCTGTAGCTGTGCATTGGGTTCTTCCGTCCTAAGTGCAGGACCCTGCACTTATCCTTATTGAACCTCATCAGATTTCTTTTGGCCCAATCCTCCAATTTGTCTAGGTCCCTCTGTATCCTATCCCTCCCCTCCAGCGTATCTACCACTCCTCCCAGTTTAGTATCATCCGCAAATTTGCTGAGAGTGCAATCCACACCATCCTCCAGATCATTTATGAAGATATTGAACAAAACCGGCCCCAGGACCGACCCTTGGGGCACTCCACTTGATACCGGCTGCCAACTAGACATGGAGCCATTGATAACTACCCGTTGAGCCCGACAATCTAGCCAGCTTTCTACCCACCTTATAGTGCATTCTTCCAGCCCATACTTCCTTAACTTGCTGACAAGAATACTGTGGGAGACCGTGTCAAAAGCTTTGCTAAAGTCAAGAAACAATACATCCACTGCTTTCCCTTCATCCACAGAACCAGTAATCTCATCATAAAAGGCGATTAGATTAGTCAGGCATGACCTTCCCTTGGTGAATCCATGCTGGAGTCTGAAGTCCTTTTATCTATATGAGCCAGCTAATGGAAGGAGCCCAGAAACAGCAGTGTCTGGACAGCTAACTGATGTTTTTTTCCTGTGATTAAACTTTAATTCCACATATGTATCAGACTCCACATGGAATCCTACAAATAAGGGTCTATTAACTTACATCATAATAGTTTGTCTGGTGTTTTTCTCAAAGATATGACACATCCTTTCCAAATACCATTGCTGCTTAATAAGAAAATATTAGTTCTAAATGGCAATAGAAAAAATAGACGTCTGTCAAGAAGGTAATTTCACAAGGTACAGTTCCAAAAGATAGAGCACACAGCACAGGCGTTCATAAGAACAACTGGTTTATTCATGCCAACAAAGGACATGATGTCTTGTGCTGTCCTTACGACAGGTTCTGACACTACTTGTTAGTCTCATTGTTTCCAGAAATGACAAAAAAAAACAAAAAAACTGCAGTACCTGGCTTTGATAAAATGGTGTGAAAAGTAAGGCACCATGACTTTGCTGGAGCTTTATGGAGACTGTTGCTATCAGAACTTTACCATAACAGCAGATTTTAAAAGGATAACTAGTTTCTGATAGAAACACTGCCTTGTAGCACTGACCCTGATCCTGGAAACAACAACATCATGCATCACTTTACCCACCTGAGCAGCTTCACTGATTTAAATAGGACTACTTAGTGCAAGTAAGTATTTTTTCATTGTAGGATCAGTCCCTTTACTTGTATGTTGCATGTTTTTTATACGCTTTCTCTAGCATTCTACTTTAGAACTTTAAAAATGACCATTAAACTTTATGCTTTGTCACATCATCTTCGCCAGTTTAAACAACCACCAGCTGCTGCTAGCTTTTGTTTTCATATATCTGATTTAAATCCTTCTTCCTCTTGCATTCAACTATTTTCTCCCTATCAAATAATGCTAAGACTGATTCTGTTTGGTAGCCTGTCTACTGATGTGTTTCAAATGCAGCCCACCTGCTCTGTAAAGCTTTAGTCTAACTGGGAAAAACACCAGTTACAGTTACCAGCAAATCCTCACACATTCCACGCTGGATAATCATGCTTTAACACCACTGTCCATTACTGTTGTTACTGTCCTGTCCTTGAATGCTACTTTACTAAGCACCTTCCAAAAACACTCAGAATATCTTCAACACTTTGAATCTCTTTTA